AATAAAAGAAAAAAGCGGGAAAAAGCGAGGTTAAATCATTTCACCAGATGTTTTAGTTCAGGTAGATAAATAACAAATAGATCGATACAAAAACGATGTATTATTTGGCAAGAGTAACTAATTATGTTCCTAAACATATACATCTTTCGGTTGTTACGTTGAAAATATTTTTCGCAGTACATAATAATAAACATTTACGAGAATTATTATTAAATATCGCTATATGACATTTCTACATCTACTTTCGCTTTTATATCTACCTTCTCTCTAATAATAATGTATAAACATTGTGATTAATATAAAAAAAAATTAAATTCATAATAATAAGAAAGTCAAAATAATTATGATTTTTTGTCATTTTTTTCTTTAATTATTTCGCATTTATAAATCGTGAAGATTTTATAAATCAAGTAATGACTCGCAAGTATCCGTTTGAATGGCACACAATTATCTCAATGCGAATATCGTTTTGGGACAGTTAAAAATTCAAAAGTCTGTTTATCAATTCTTCTTTTATTTTTTTTAATTCTTTACTACACCTCAACTTTCGAATTTCTGGCACGACCTGTTAAAAAAAAAAGAAGGAAACAACCAAACCGCGATAAAACTCGTTCCTCATGTTCAACGTATACAATTGTCTGTCCTGATATACACGACTCAGTCTATACGAGCAAATTTATTAAAACGTTTTCTGTCCACTTGATTACGCTACGAAATTAGCAAGATGTCGGTATCGAACAACACAGGAGAACGCAGTCGAGTAGTCTCTATATTTCCTAGTAACAAGGATCGCATCCCTAGAATGCACCACAGTGGTCATTTCTCTTTTAAACGTGTAATAAAACGCAAAATAAATAAAGACGTGAAACAGCTAAATATTTGTAATAATTTTTATTAACCTTTACCTACGATAACTTTTGCAACTTCGATGATTTTGAAAGGAATTTCTATTACTGCAATATTATTTTTACCCTCGGTCGATAATATCAATCGTGAAAAATAATGTAAGAAAAAATTAATTCCCTTTTATTATCAGCAAACAGTTGATATAATTGAAAATACGAAATATTTCACGATCGTTATTTAATTTATGAAAATATACTAATATTTCATATTAATAGTTGAAATTACATCAATTTATAATTTTATTCGAGTTTCAAATTATATCTTCACTTTTTATTCTTCCACACAAAAGGCAGTGTCGTTTCTTTTTTACAATTTTTGCCGAACACAAAAAGTAACATGAGTAAGCGAATGAAGAAACAGTAGCAGATACTCATTGCATTCAGAACACACCTCGAATACCACACCAAGTACCTTACGATTACATGGTGTAATTACGCACAATTTCGTACTCTCTTATGTTGCTGAAAGCACTACCAGTGTTATGCACACACGCAAGCGCATCAATTGTATGTTCGTCTTTCAAATATATGCACAATATTCACTTCAGTGGCGCGTACATTAAAACGCACAGACTCATAAGAATAACAAAAACAGAACCCTTATTATTAAGTACACTCCTTACTTTGAAATAGGTGTCCCTTTTTATAAGATCGTTTAGCTTGTACTTCGTCCCGCGACATGTGGTTACTGTATAATTTTTCTTTTACTTTTCCGTTCGTAAATTACATACGATTACAGCTTATTTAGCGTCCTTTCGGAGTTCGTATTTTTAATTATTTTTTTTTTTTTTTTTAGCACTTTTGCGGTAGAAAACTGACCTAAGTTTGTTTCACGTATTTATTATAATAAACCAGTGATAACAGAATACTTCCTGTCGCATTTCGTTCTGCTGACAAATTTGCGAAACCGGAAATACGTATTGTTTTCGCGGTGAAAGCGGCAAAATGTTTTTCAATTCAAGATTCGGCAACCTAACCTACCTCGCGTTCATCTTTTTCCCTCTTCATTACGTCACTTTACCATGTCCTGAAGCTGTACTTGCATACACGTGTGAAAACATTGCTCAATATTCATTCCCTTTCTTTCAAATAAATTCATTAATAGCTCCTACTTCAATCGGATTTTCCAGGTGAAACGAAATACCCTTTTTTAGAGCAAAACGGAAGAATCCGCGGAGTAATCTATTAAAATCAAGGAATCCATCTATCTAAATCAAAGAATCTACGTTCCTCTGCAAAAAAGGATTTGCGTTCTCGATACTTCAGAACCGGTAGTGAAACAAAGCATACGCGATGATTTTTACAAGATAAGAAACGCTCGGTACTCACCATGCAGAAGAACTTCACGTTGGCGTTACGCCCGCGCACGAAAACAATTTAGAGACGTACACCAAAAAATCCGTAAATGTGTGTTGTGATCCTGTTTGTCAGAAGAGATTCCTCTGAAACGTAGTCTTGTCGTTTTTCTCGGTCTGGTTACCGTCACAGGCGTAGATGGACAGCCGGCGAATAGAAAAACCTCACACGCGTGGTCCTGCGATGGAGAGTAAAAAAAGAACGTTACGCGATGAATCGAAGTCAAGTGCAATACACACACGAGCAACCGCACGGCGCGCGGGTTCAGCGGCCGACTGAAAGGATGCAGTCGCTTTTGGTCCGCCATAGTCCGCTCACGGACCCCTGTGGCCCCTCGTGGTCCGGCCAACCCCCCACCATGCTACTACACAGAGACAAAGCAGCTGCGCGCGCACCTATACATTTTTTGACCCTCCGCCATTCTCCCTTCCCTCTTGCCCCCACTCTACCACCCTTAGGCTTGATTCACCGCGTACCGTCCCCTAAGTTGTTCGTTCGTACACACATGCATACTGTCTAGCGATAGGGTCGATTCACGAAAAATCTATAATTTTTGAGTCATTGGAAAAATAAATCTTGTACTTCAAGAAATTCAACGAAAGAATTGTGTTGTATTATCAATAACATAAAATATGATTTTTAAATATTTCTAATCTTTAATACGTGTAGGTTAAATATAAATATTTGAAATTAAATAAAATAAAAGTATTTGTGATTGTGTTTGAAAAAGTTATTAAAATAACTTTACTTCATTGCAAAACATATACACATGTTATATAAATTTATAATATAGAAATAGTTTAGTTTATTTAGTTCCACATATAGAAATATGAAATAATTTAAATATAATAATACAAAAACTTGAGATGATTAATTCAAAATTGAAGACTTTCTAAAATATTATTATCGGTATTCATAATTAATCATAAGTCAGAGTCTTGAAAACAAATCGAGAGGGTATTGCTCCCATCGCTAAAGGCACCGTACACATTGCTATCCAAGAGTCCTTAGTCGACACTCTCGTCCACGCTACCGCTCACCCCCTCTTTCTCCTACTTGTGGACTCGTCATAGGTCCTGTTTACACCCCGCGAGAAGGAGAGACTGTTACCGGTCTGGTAGCTTATATCGATGTAGGAAAAAGTATATACCGGCCGATCCTATTGCACTGATGGAATCGAGGTAACCGCGTTGCAATTCGACGGACCAGTGGTAGCAAAGAACGTGCATACGATGACGACCTTCTAATACATTTTGATAACGCATTATTTGCGTAATAAAAAAATGTGCAATATGTATTTTTTGCATCATGAAAAATAATGCAAACTATATCTCAAACTATTAAGGTCGAAACTAACTACAGAATTAAAAACAAATAGGATTATTGGTAAATTTATTTTATTGACTTGATTTTTCGATTGCTGTAATAACTAAAGTTTTGTTCATTATTGGTTTGTGCAAATATTCATAATGTCAATGTTACTTATATTTATTTATAATTAAATAAAGTTTCCTGATAATCTTAAAAATGAGAATCATGTTAACATTGAATTATGCTAACATATAATTGACAAATTATAAAGAATATTTAATTTTGTTATAAGTATAATACACCTTTACGAAACATTATCATCAGTATACATTTCTCCTCATATGCATAAAATGAACGAGTCATTTCCCTTAGCGCCTAATTATTATAATTAATTCCTATTACAAAACAGTAATTATTATACTTCATTTCCTAATAGTGATGCACCGGATATAGTGCTTGATTGCAAAGAGTTAGATGCGAGCAACAAGGGGTCTATAAATGAAAGCTTTGATACGTGTTAAACATTGTCATAGATTATATGAACAATAATGCATACATGTAAATAAGTACAAATAAGTAAAAATACGTATGATTTTGATTGTATGAGTCCCTAACTGCATTAATACACATGACTTCGAGTAATTAAATTTTTAATATTTTTTGTACATTGCTTTGTATTGTATATATGTATATCAATTTTTATTTTAAATTTTTTATTTCATTGAAAAATGCAAATAATATTACAAATAATGTTATGTAGAAGAAACTGAACTATTATTTTATTTAACATTACGAAACATTTTCTAATTGATTTACTACTAAATATCATCATACGATTGGTTATGTGAAAACGTATTTTCTCTAAATAAAAAGGTAATAGAAAGATAAGAAGAAAGAACGTATATACAAATGTATATATTATACAGAATAATTATGTATATATGTATATATACATTGTTACATAAAATTTATTATCATCTATATAGATACATATAAATATATTTCTTACACCTGTCAAACATTCAATTAATGCAATTTTATGACATTTAGATCACAATACATACTACACCAAAAATAAGCTGTATACGATATAAACAAATTTTTTTATAAATTTCGTATAACATACTGTAATTTATTTGGAAAAATATATATAACCTTATTTTTGTACAAAGGTGAGTTACTGATCTCAAATATATTAACCTCAAATACTCCTTTCTAAATCTAACGTTAAAGATCGGTACAAAATATTTTAATCGATCATTTTTTTAATACAATTAATATAATCAGATATTGCAGAATTTTATAAAAGTTAATGATTTAAATTGGTAATATGATAATTAATTTGTATCCTCTGTTTACTTAAGAATTGCATACAAGAAAGGTTAATAAAATGGTATCTTTGCAGCAAAAGTTTTAAACATTACAACAATGAAGGTTGTATTTTTTGTATGTTGATCATGTTAAAATTCATTATACTATGAGGAATATATTTATTTTTTTCACTTTGGTAAGAATGTTTTTCATTTATTTATAATTTGGGATATTTATATATTTATACTACTTTAAGATTATTAAAATGTTTCATTTTACCAGGTATCCTGTGTGTTAGCTGATGAACATAAGTTATTACATTATGCAACTGGTGAAGTCGTAGGAGGTTCATATAATTATTATAGTTTAGCTGATGATTGTGGTATTAAAATAGTATTAATATCTGAGTAAGTAAATTATTAAAATAAAGTTATATTAATAATTAATTTAACTTAAAATTAACACTTAAGATTAAAATTTATTTGTTTAATAGGACAATATAATTTTTTGTACTATATACTTTGTAGGACTGGAGATGCAGATTTATATGTTTCACAAATAATAACAAAACCAACTTATGAACCAGATCAGTATTGTTTTCAATCTGCTACCTGTGCAGAAGATATTGTTGTTATCCCTAATAGGTATATCAAATATAATTTTTATCAAATATTTACCTAAGTATTGATAAATGTATCATTTTTTAGTTCTAAAAGACCAATTAATATAGGTGTTTATGGACATCCATCATATGAGAATAGTAAATACATTCTTGTAGTATTTCAAATAACAGAAATTGATAATGATCAGGTATATATTAAAATTAGAAATATTAAGAATGCATAATACATAATGTAGTTTCCATTGAAATATTTTATACAATTAAATACTATTTCAGGAACAAGAACCATTAATTTCAACATCCATTACCTGGTACCTATTGGATTTACTATTCCGCATATTATTTTGATGTGTATTATGACATAGTACGTAATTTTTTTAATTAATCATGTTGGAATATGAGAATCAAATGTTTTTGGAAATTCTCCATGAAGATGGATTGGTTATTACTGCCAAGTAATTATTCCACTTTTTGTATATTACATGAAATATGATTATTTTATTTCTCACATATTTTCACATATTCATGCCAATATGTTATTTCAGAGGCCTTGGTATAGAAACTGTATTTGTAAATATATTAAGAGCTTATATAGATCCAGGAAACTTAATTATAGTTTTAGGGGCTACAAGTCATGATGAACAGTACTTCATTGATTTTCTAAAAAATTATGGGCTTAAACAGTTACCTCGTGTTGTAACTTCTGAATGTTCTTCTGACGAAAGGTTTACATTATAATACTCCATCTTGTATTGAAAATTTAGTTTTATATTTTTGTCTTCTTATTTTCTAATAATTACAGGGAAGTAATGTATTTAGAAGGTGGTGTGTTATTTATGTCAGGTCCGATTCTTGTAGTGGATTTATTAAAAAAGAGGGTTCCATTAAATTTAGTTACTGGAATTCTTGTATATAGAGCACATAATATCCTAAATTCATATCAAGAAGCATTTGCTCTTCGTTTATATAGACAGCATAATAAAGTAAGTAATAAAATAATTAAAAGAAAATTAGACAGAGCTATTATACGATTACTATTTCTTTTAACTTTATGAATTCTTATAGACTGGTTTTATTAAAGCCTTTACTAATTCTGCATTGGCATTTACTGTTGGATATTCGCGAGTGGAACGAGTAATGAAAGCTTTATTTGTTAAAAAATTATATTTATGGCCGCGTTTTCACACGCTTGTAAATAGTAGTTTAGAAAAACATAAGGTAATAATATTATATAATTATATTACAATATATCATGAACTTTACTGTAAAGAAGTTACATTACAAAATTTTATTTAGCCTGATGTCATTGAACTACATGTAAAAATCACATCAAAGATGTTAAACATTCAAACTTCTTTACTTGATGTAATGAATTATATAATTAAAGAGTTAAAAAGACTCAATAAATATGTAAGTACGAAATTTTATTAAAGTATTAAATTATATAATTATACATATATTATATTTTTATAGTTAGATTTAGATGATTTAACTGTTGAAAATGCGATAGCTAAGAAGTTTCATAAGCAATTACAGTCACAATTAGATCCTATTTGGCATCAACTTAGTTATACTTCAAAACAATTGTTATCTGATTTGAAAACATTACGTGCTCTTCTTGCGTAAGTATCATAGAAGTTAAAAAATAATTTATTAATTTCTGACAAAAAAGTACATAAAAATATAATATAGATGTTTAACATATGAGGATTGTGTGTCATTTTATGTAATGTTAAATCGCTTACGTACTATGGAATATGCTGTAAAAAATAGTGGTTGGTTGATGTTAGATTCTGTAGATATTTTATTTAAAAATGCGAAGGACAGAGTTTACAATGAAAAAAATGGTGAGCATGTTTGCATAAATTTACCACTTAAAAAATGATTTACATTATGTGAATTTTAATACTATACAAATTGATTTTATATAGAATTAAAACCTGAAACTACTCCAAAATGGACTGCTTTAAGGGAAGTATTACTTGAAATTCAGAATGATAGTAAAAAAAAAGAAAATAACAAAAATATTGAAAAAGTTCTTATTTTGGTACATGATCGAAATATTTGTTATCAGTTAAGAAATTATTTAACTATGGGAGCCAATGAATATTTACTTTATGAAGCAATGAGAAAACTTTCTCATAAGGAAATACAAACAACGAGGTATATAAGAATTTAAAAATTAAATTTTTTATTTGAAAGGTGATAGATACAAGTAAAATATTTTAATTCTTATTCATACACTTAATTTACTTTAATAGTGAAACAAATGTAGAGGAACCGTCTACATCGACGGAGAAAGCCGAGAATGATACAAATGAAGAACAGGATTCTTATGTATTAACACTATCTCAAAAAGTTAAAGAAGGAAGTCAGTCTAATTCAACAACTGAGGAAATCATGCATGAGACTTTATTCGAAGAATGTTCACAAGTAAAATTATAGTTCATTGCATATATGATATAATATGTATAAAATGTAAAAAAATTCAGTATGTACTATTCCTTCAGATTGCAGATTTGGATTTAACTAACATAAATGCAGATACACCTGTTATTTTGATACAGACTTTAAAAAAAGATGGTGACCCAATGGCATTGCAGCGTGCCTTAACAGAACATATGCCAACTAACATTATTATGTACATAGCAGATGTATCTGCTATACGACAAATTGAAGTATGCACAAAATTAACAAAACATTTTTCAATATATTAATAAAGTGTAATTATAATTGTTAAATATACATATTTTTTATGTAGGTTTATCAAAATAACAATTCATCAATAGATTTAAAAGTATATTTTTTAATCTATGGAGGCTCTGTAGAAGAACAAGAATATCTCACGTCTTTAAGACGAGAAAAAGAAGCATTTCATACATTGATTAATACTAAAACTGTATGTTTGTCTATTTTAAGTAAACTTTTACATTACATAAACTATATATTATATATATTCAATGTAACACAACTACATTTTTATCTTAGAAAATGGTTATTCCTAGCGACCAAGATGGAAAAACTGAAGATTGTTTAAGTCTTGCAATACAATCAGAAGCAGATGAAATAAATACGCGTAAAGGTGGTGTATCAACGAAGCCTGAAATTCCTAATTCAGTCATAGTTGATATGAGAGAATTTAGAAGTGAACTGCCTGCAATACTTTATACACGAGGAATGAATATTGAACCTGTAACCTTGCAGGTACAAGAGAATTTTAAATGATTTAAAAGATATAATACTAATTATTTCAATTTTTAATGATTAATTTTTTACTTCGTCTATAGGTGGGAGATTACATTTTGTCACCAGACATTTGCGTTGAAAGGAAAAGTATTTCTGATTTAATTGGTTCTTTAAACAGTGGCAGATTGTATAATCAGGCTGTTGCTATGACAAGACATTATAATAAACCAATGCTTCTGATCGAATTTGATCCAAATAAACCATTCTGTTTCCAAGTATATATAATTTGTATATTCCACGGTAGTAATTCCTTACAATTTTAAGTTTATTAAAATTAATCTTTTTAATTACAGGGATACTATTATGCTAGTAAAGATGTTCAAAATATGTTTATTACCTCAAAACTTCAACTTTTAACTTTACATTTTCCTCGTTTAAAACTTGTGTGGTCACCTGGGCCCCATGCAACAGCACAGTTATTTGAAGAATTAAAGGTAATGAATTTAAATTATAATTGTTATTGTATTTTATAAATATTTATGAATTAAAACTAACATGTTAATTTTATTTTATTCCTGTTACATTTACATTTACATTTATAGCAAGGAAGAGACCAACCAAGTGCGACAGAAGCTGCACAAATTGGACTTGAAGAAAATAAAGAAATACCAGTAGAAAAATATAATCCTCGAATTCAAGATTTTGTTGCGAAATTACCCGGAGTTACTACTAAAAATTTACATTTAATATTAAATAAAGGACAGTCGTTAGATAATCTTAATACACTTACAAAAGTATGTACTACAACTTATATCTTGTAAATTATTTAGAAAATAGTATATTCAATAATACAAATATTTTATGTTTAGGAAGAACTTACTGAATTGCTTAAAAATAGAAATGAAGCTCAAATGTTATATAATGCATTTCACGAAAAATGTTCTCCAGCAGAAGAGAAATTGAATACAAATGGTAAAAAATTTATATCTAAAGGTCGAGGAAAAAGACTGTTCAGCAAAATCAAGCAGTAATATTTTACCTTTAAAACATTAATTGTGTATATCTTAGGTTTGTATTAAGTGTAAAATTTACATATTACCATATATTATATAAAGATTTGTGCATGTATAAATTTTCATAAAAAATAAAAAATAATATATTTTTATGTATTAAAAGTATAATTTTTTTATTATATTTTTAAATTTATGTTTTTAATCACTTAGAAATTCTAAATCAATTTTATAATGAACATGAATAATTTTTTATTCTTGAATTTCAAAAGTTCTCATTAAACATACTATAGCTTTATTTAATATTTCTTCTAGTAATGACATGCAATCTTCAGAGACTAATATATTATTGACATGGTTTACTTCAAACATTCTGTAATTATAAAATATGGAAATATAATTCAATAAAAACATCTATTTCTTTTTTGATCAAAAATTGAACTACATACTTCCTGATTTTTGAATAGCGGCATTTCTGAAAAATTAAAGATTTCGTTTCGGCCTTTTCAATAGCTTTCAATGATATTTCGTGTGCAATTTTTAATACTTTATGTATAACTGCATGAGTATTCAATGAAATATGTTGTAAACAAAACTAAATAGATTATACATATGTAATATTAGATATGTAAATATTAAATTTTTACGAAATAAAATTTTTAATTTAAATATTTAACTTACTTCATTATGTTCATGATGAAAGATATAAGCTAAAATAATCTTTGAAATTTCTGATACAAATATAATTTTTTCTCGTTCAGTCATTGTATCTGGTCGAAAATTCAGTAATAAATCATGAAGTTTAGTAGTTGTTGTATCATATTTTGCCATACCAATTAAATATATTTTTTCATAAACACGCATATCCATTCCTATAAAAAATTGTACATATCTTTATTTATGAAAGTATGATATGTTAGTACTTCAAAAGAACCTTTCATCTCTAAATACCTGGTTCATAATCACTTGAAAGACAGTAAAGACCATTTAAATACTGTTCAGCTATCAAAAGTGATTTAGTATCACGAACATCTACCTTATCAACAATATTATCAAGCCATGGTGTGATAGAGCAGAAATTAAATGCACTGTCACTGACTCTTACATTTTCTCCTTCCATGCTTATTGGTGATGAATGTTCCTAAAATAAAATAATTATATATATTCAAATTGGAATAAAATGAAATAGAATAAAATATTTTTATGACTATAATTGATTTTAAATATACTAACAAAAAAGATCTTTGATTCAGTTTCCATCTTAATTTCATCACCAAAAATATATTCTCCACATCGTGAAATTATTACCTGTTTAATAGGATGTTCATAATATGTTGAAATATTTTCTAATATTTTTAGAGTTCTAGCACCATCTACAAGCTGTCTTTGATAAATTAATAAATTAAATTATCTTTCACAATGAATGTTATTTTTATGACTTTAGTCACATAAGAATTAAAATTACATTATTTTACTTACCCAAAAGCAACATAGAAATAATTCATCCACGGATTTGGTTTTAAACATATAATAAACTGTGATTTGTTACAATGTTTTCCATTATTTACTATAGAAAGAACTCCTCTACGATCATGAGGGATACAATAAGATTCATCAGGTATTTCAACATTTGCAGTATTTTCATTGATTAGGTGTGATTCAAATCCTATAAAAAATAAAAACTTACAACAGAATTAACAATATTTGTTAATTGAAAATTTAATAATGCTACATGAAAAATTTAAGTAATATTTGATTGTACCTCCACATTGGATCCATCCATTTTTTACAATACGATGCAAATGTGTATTTATATAATAAGCATCTTTATAACATTCTTTCACTTCATCATATCCAGTACAAAGATTTAGAAAGTATTGACAAGTTAATGGTAACAAATCAGAATATAGCTAAAATAATATTATATTTAGTATAAGTATTTTGTAATATAGTATTGCTCTGCAAAATGAAATTACATGTAAATTCTTACCACAAATACAAATGAACCAATAGTTGAATTATTTAACGAAAATGTGAAATAAACATATTTCCTCTAAAATTAAACAATCTTATGTTAATGTATAATTTATATTATGAGAGTATCCTGTGGAATAAATTAATAAAATTGTTCATACACAGCCAAAAGCAATTTACTTTAGATTTTTCGATAAATTGTTTACAACGTTCTGTAGCGAGATTTTCATAAAATTCTACTCCAACAGGTAAACTAAAGATATAATTTTGACTTATATAGCGTAAAAATTCCACATCACTTCCAAGAAATTCATCATTAATAAAAACAGCAACAGTTTGTGTTAATGACCACATTTTTCCTCCGATTTGCTAAAGAATTATAAACATAAGTTATAATCGGAATTTGTCGGTATCGGAACATAGAATATTAACAATTCATTTACTCTTTTCATTTTATGAATGTATTCGTGCCATTCTATTTGAAACATTTCTATAATTTGCGGAATGAAAAACTTAAATGGCAAATGCTGATATAATTTTTCTGCACATATTCGTGCTTTCTGAAAAGCAATGGTATTTACAATACCTACTATTTTAATTTTAATACAATCATTTTTTAAAGAACTTAAACAATAATTTTTAAGTAGTTCTCTTCTATCATTATTTTGCATAATTATAAAAATTAATTTTAATTTTCTTCAAACAAGTTTCTTGAATAATAATCTGAAATCAACTTGGAAATAAAAATATATATATATTAAAATATATATATAAAAATATATATATATGTATATATAAATTATAATTTAAATTTTATATTTCTCGCTGTATCATATAACAAATATATATTGCTATGACATTTTTTAACTGAAGTTATGCAAGATTAGCAAGAAAAAGTGAAAAACACATTTAAACATATATTGTCACGCTCGAGCTGAAACTCGAATTTTATCTATATCTCAAAAATTATTAAACGATTCTTCAACTCGCAATTACTCGCAACTGATAAGTAGAATAAATTGTACCATCACCTATTAATTAGTTTATTCAGTTAAGGTACTGAAAGTAGTCTTCAGGCTTCTGATAACTAGAGGAATAAGATGCTAAAATCAGCTCGAAGTCCATATATAACATATTAGGTATACTAAAATTCTGATTAATGTAAATGCTAATCCAGTCACACTTGAGATTATCCAAATTTTCTTCAGTCCAGTGTTATTCGAATGTTTGATAATACTGGCGTTCTAGCAGTTATAATTCTTCAAAAACTGTTCCTTTGCTCTCTTGATATCTAGTGATTCAAGTATTTAATATGGACATTATTATATTTTTCTGTAATATTTTATTTATTCTTGTTTAAAGCTTTCATTTAATAGTTATTTAAAAATACAACTTTAATATTGTATATTAATAGAATTTTATGAACGTTTCCATTAATTAATATTTAAACATATGTTATATGTTAAAAGTTTAATTTTCTTACAAAAATATATATGATATAACTCAACTAATATTTACAGCAATGTCACTATCATATTCATCCTAATATGAATATTAAAACATAATAACATCTTTTTGTATTTTAGAAAGATTTTATTAGTTAGGTGTTTCATACATTACTTCTGTTGTATTTTCAGTATCACTTTCTTCATCACTAGTACTACTTGTATCCAAATTATACAGAAAGGATTCATTTTCATTCATAGGGAAATAAAATCTGAAAATTTATGAAATTAATAAAAAAAACTAAAAATTAATTTAATAAATTATGATTTCATATTGTGATTTCATAAATACTAACTCTGGTTGATCCCACATTTTTTGTGAAGGTATCTTAAAATGATTTTCTTCTTTCATATGTTTCAAAACATTATCTACTTTTGTTTCACAAAAAACGCATTGTTGTAAATGAATTTGTCTCCTAACATAATTAACTACTTTTACCTGTTTCAAAACCATAATTTAACATATTAGCATTTTTTTTTTTACCAATACATCATATACCAATCTTACTTTTTGATAAAATGTTAAATTTTTTGATGCGGTTCTAAAATCAAAATCATGTTCTATCTTCATGTGTGCCAGAATAAGGTGAAAATGTTTATTACTGTAATTGCAGAACAAACATGATATACCAATGCCTTCATCATTCCAATCTGACCAAGTATCTTCATCTTCATTTTCACTACTTTGATCTTCTACCACATCATTTTCTTTACTCTAAATGTAATAAAGATTAAAATATTTATTTCATATGTATATTTACTATTAAAGTTTTTATCAATGCATCTTATATGTATTAATATATTTAAATAATATAATACCTGCTTATGTCTCCATGACTTTCCAGGTTCTAAATAATTATTTATATAAAATTTGTCATATTCCTTATTATTAGGATTTATTCTTTTATGAAGTTTCTTACGCATATGTTCTTTCAAAGCTGTACGATCTTTAAATAATTTTTCACAATATATGCATATTAAACTGAAAAATATATATTTGGAAATATATAACTTAATCATGATGTTTACATATCTATAACTTAATTAAAATATTTTTTTATATCTTACTTTTCAATGGTAGTTTGAATTTTATCTAAAAATTCATCTATGAATACTAAATTATCTGGTTTACCAAGATATAAATTATGTTTTTGGGCTAAGTGCTTTATATATATAATACGTGAACCTGAAAATTCCATCCGACAAAAAATACAACCACGTTTAAAATTAGTATCTGTTCTTTCTCTTGCTTGTTCTGATAAAGCCCATTCCTTAAAACAATAAAATATAATCTTCTGTTATATTCTACAATTAATTTTATATAATACTTTCATAAATTGTTAAATACCAGTTTTGCTCTATGTATCTCATCTCTTAAAGTTTTATCTTCTGAAATACAATCAGAAAGTAAAAAATATTTTTCATTTTTACTCGGTTTCCCATCAGGAGTACAATCCATTAACATTGTTGTACAGAATTTAGTCAAAGGCTCTTCCTTAAATTTAATACTCCAATAATGGATATAGCTGAAAGTAATCAAAATTTTCAGTTATATAAAAAATTTAATTCTTAACAAAAATTATTTCATGTAAATTAATCAAACCTTTTTAAACTAGCAATATTCCAAATATCTCCTATTACAAGTCGATGTTCTTTAAATAAATGAGTCAAGAGCTCTTTTTCATTTTCAGGAAGAGTAAATTTTCCATCGCACAAAACACATTTTGTGTCATACGGTTTATCATCAAGTCCAACAAATTGAGATTTATATACAGTTCGATCGTTAGTAAAAACACTGTTTGTGGGTAACAAATCTTTATATTTTTCTATAATATAATATTATACAATTATCTTCAAATTTTATTTTCTACTTGCACATCTTTTACAAAGATGAACGAAGCATAAATATATAAAGCAAATACCTTTAGAACTCATAACTATTAAAATTTAAAAATATTTGAAATAAATATATAGTTTATAAAATTCAGAAACTGTCTTTATAAAAGGTTAAGTATCAGTAATTTTGGGCGATATACGATTACATTTATCGAAATAAAATTTTTGTTTGTCTTTCTTTAAAGGTTTTAAAGAAATCTATTATTTTGTATTTTGATTAAATAATTCCACAAAAATAGTGAAGAACATCATTATTTGTTAGCGATCGATTGTTCTTTCAAAGAACTAATGTAATCACATGTTCCCATCGTTCTGTCAAAATGTGTGGTTCTTATTGGATAAAATTAGAATGTTATCTTTCCCTGAAACATTTGAATATAAGATAAATAGTTCATTAAATGTGACGATATAATTTTTATTCTGCATTACATTCAATACACACGACGAAATAGATATTTGAATTATAGTAACTCTAATCGCAATAATTAATTTTAATAATGTATACGAATTGTATTACTTCCAATAATGAAGGGATATAATTATTACATAATTAACAATTACAATGTTTATATATTTTGTATATGTAATAAGATTTTAATATTTGTAATACTTATTCAGTAAAATTTAGAAATGATTCTTTTAAGATACATGTTGCAACTTGCAATAAATTATTTCTAAAAATAAATATATGATAAGGGAGAAAGGAAAAGTAAGCATATATTATTTTAAAATCTTTATTTCTCTTTTCTGTTATTAAATTTATTTTTCATAAGACTAAATAATAATATCAAATGACATGTATGTAATGAAATGCTACTAAAAGTTGTACTTGGATAAATGTTCCAACATAATTCTATAATGCCCAAAATAGTTAATTTTATCACAGTCTTATAATCTGTACACCATGCAATATAAGGCAAAGTATGATAATACCATATGTAGAATTGATAATGCAATGATCTACTAAATGTTATACCAATAAAATTTGCAACAAACATTGGAAAAATAAATAATTGACTCATGAGTGACATATCTATTTTTTCTTTCTTTTTTAACTGAGGTTGTAAGTTTTTCTCCATATACTTTAGTTTTGCATATGATTTCATATACTTTATCCATGTTGGTATACAATAAATTAAAGTTAATATATGCAGTACTAACAATAATATATGAAAATATGGGTGAATAAAAACATGTTCTGATAGAAATCTCCAGTTTACAGTCCATTTAAACTCAAAAATCCTTCCAAAATTAAAAGCACTTTTTATATATGAAAATGGATTACTCAAGAGAAAAGGAAAACCTAATATTAATTGAATTAATGCACAGATGAATAAATGTATTATTGTTTTAAACATTCCTAAATTACATATATAAGCTGTGAGAAGTGCTGGTGCAAATAATAAAATGTTCATTTTTACAGACACAGCCATGCTGTAGAAAATACTGCCTAAATACCATTGATCATCTAAAAATGCATTAAGACTAGCAAATAACAGTATCATTGCAATTGGATCATTAAAAAGTCTTAAAATAAATATAGAATGAATTCTGTAAGATGTACAACACATAATGATTAATACATATGGAGGAACTTTTTTAGTTTTCGCATAAATTCGAAAAACTAACATAAGCAACACAATATAAAGAACTGCAAAGAAGTACTGTGCTACTTTTATGTTTGTTCCATGTTCCGTGATGAAATATAATATAGAGAAGATATAAACAAATCCTGCAGGATAGACTAACGGTCCAGTATCACCTTTTAATTTCGAGTAATCCAATGTTCCATTTAAAAAACCTTCTACTTCTTGCATGTACGCTTTCCAGTCGATTTCGGTGTACGGTACTCTTTCAATAACCAATACATTCAGAATGATTTCCAAAATGATGAGCAGTCTTCCAATTAAAAATAATTTTCTTGGATCTGTGAATAAGGAAATAAATTTTCCCCATTCTAAATAATCTTCATACCAATTTTTGGTATTTTTCTTTGATAATTTTATTGAGTTGAGGTTAGACCGAAATTCTCTGCGCGGCGCCATATTGCTACAAGTGCACGTGTGTACTATTTCACTTCTGAGCATGCGTATATTCACATATAGTCTTCTTCAGTTAGCCGTCTTTTTCATTTTTTAGTAGTTGATATCAACCAATCGCAAAGCTTGATGTTAAATGTGAGTCACAGCATATTAGAACCAATCAGGATGCGCCAGCTGGGATTCCGGGCTTTTGACAGAATCCAACGTGTATAAAGTGTAGCGTGGATTAAACCAATGTAGTTAAATTAAGAATTTCGTTGCAACAGTGAGTAAATGCATTAAAATTTCTAAGGCGTTTGTGTTACAACTTAGTAAAAATATTTTTCACGTGATATACGAATTATTTTAACGGTACAATAATATGTAAGTTGTGCTCCATTACAATTTATGTTAACCTAGTAAACATAGCAAATATATTCAGTTTTCTACTAATTTTTGTTATTTTATTTTTTCCAAACCTGCATTGATATTTTAATACTATTTGAATAAATAAGTTTTTAGTATAATTAACATTTTATATAATTGAAATTTAATTGAAATAACATTTTTAATATTACAACATATAATATGTTGAATTTTAATATATTTAATTAGTTTGTTTAGTAATTGCATTTTGCTTAATAATTGACTTTTGTATATATATTTGTATATATACATATATATATATGTGTATATATATATATCAAATTTTTTATTTCATTGAATTATATAATATAAGATTATTTCATAAAAATAAAAAGTATAAAATAAAAAAATTGTTTCTTTTTGCAGAAAATACATTCAAAATGAATAGTTCATTGTTATTAACTCTTTCTATTGCCATTGGATTTATATGTATTGTCACATCTTTAAAAAGTGATGAATGTGAAGGTAAGTTAATAGTTATTTTCTATATTATTTATTTGTATTAATTCCATAAATTTTATGAAATTTCAGTATGTATAAATACCTTGGAAAAATTTATTAATAGTTTAAATAATGATGTGAAAAAAGACACAAAAAAAATTGAAACAGCATTTAAAGAGTTTTGTAAAGGTACTAAATCTAAAGAAAACAGATTTGTAAGTATTTATGATAAACACAAAGTAAATATTCAAATAATATATAATTTATATTCAAATTGATTAAATTCTTATTTTTGTTTAGTGTTATTATTTAGGTGGTTTGGAGGAATCTGCCACAGGTATTTTAAATGAATTAAGTAAACCTATATCTTGGTCTATGCCAGCAAATAAAATATGCGAAAAATTGAAGAAGAAAGATGGTCAAATATGTGACTTGAGATATGGTATGTTTATTTTTGATTAATTTTGTATTAAAAAACATTTTAATTATTTTACTTTCCTCATTTTTAAACTATAATATTGTCATTTAATTTCAGAAAAACAAATTGATATTAATACTGTTGATTTGAAAAAACTTAAAGTACGTGATTTGAGAAAGATCTTGAGTGACTGGGATGAAACATGTGATGGTTGCATAGAAAAAACAGATTTTATTAAACGAATCGAAGAACTGAAACCAAAATATTCTCATAGTGCAAAATCAGAACTCTGAAAAGTGTTCAAAAATGTAGATAAATTATTATGTTAGTGTGGCTAAGCTTTGGGGGTTTTTTTTTTTACAAAATGATTACAACAGTATTTGTATATTTCTTCATTCTGTGTGAATATATGAGAATCATTTTGTATAATTAGTTTGATCGAATTTTTAGAAGCCAGTATATGCATTTAAATTTCAGTGAGTAATATTAAATTATATTAATTAAGTAATATCTTAGACATGGCTCTAAGAAATTAAGAATATTGAGCAATGAAAATTTGTTAAAGAGAGGATCATTCCTTTTAGTATAGCCATGCTAATACAAATTAAATATCATAAAAGGTGCTCTGTTTTTATCATACCAATGTTAGACAAATATAAATAACTCAAATTTTTCATATAACAAATTATTTTCATGTTTTTATCTTTCATTGCTCTTCCTCAACTATTCTGATACAGTGTGTTTATACATGTATGAATCCTATTTATATCAAAATGCCGTGTACTATATAAACAGATATGTATTTGTGATGAATTATTAATAATGTGTTGTTATATATATTCATTTTTTTTCTTTTTATGTTATATTGAACATTAAAATTTATTCCTAGTTTTTTACAACATAGTTTCTTGCGATGTTTTTTTTACAATTATTAGTAATAATATTATCTTTTCATAACACGAAACACTTCGTTTTCACAAATTGTTTTAAATAATAAAATTATAAATCTGTCAAATATTCAATATTTATTAATAACAACTTGTTAGAGTTAGTTTTAATATGATTTAAAATTATATACATAAATACATAGCATATCTTATATATAATATTGAAATTCATTATTTGTAGAATATTATTTCTTGTACAATAACATTATTTTATGAAAACATGCTTATAAGATATAAAATGAAAAGGTATTATAAAAATTTAAAGATTTAATAAAAAAAATTATCAAATAAATTTACTATATTTTATATTAAATTTATATGTAGACTGGTACTATTTTGATATATTTTTTCATTAATTGTCATTACAATTCGGTGGATCGCTCCAATATCCATCAGCCTTACATGTAATTAGTCCTTGTTTTTTACCATCAGGACACACATATGTCAATTGATCTTTATACAAATAAGAACGTCCACGAATTGTTACTCCAAATGGTAGTTTTGGTTTATTACACGAAAGTTCTATAAACGTTAATCAATCAAAAAAGCATGATAGAATATTACATGTTATGTAACATAATACGTACTTGAACATCTGCTATATATTCTAGACCATTTCCCATTTGTCAGACATCTTGTATTTGGTTGACCCAACATTAAGTACCCAGGCATGCATTCGTAAGCAACTGTACTACCAAATGTAAAATTTACTGTTTCAGTTTGATCTCCTTTCAACAGAGCATTTGCAATTTTAGGTGGTTTTCCACATATTATAGCTATAATAAATATTTATTCATTTTCGAATAATGTTTTTTAGAAGTACCTACATTGTGACAGAACTTACGTTTACAAGAAGGAATAGTAGACCAAGTATTATTTGGAAAGCAAACGGATCGTTCATTACCTTCCAGAATATAGCCTTGGTGGCATTTGAATGTTATGGTACTATTAACAGTTCTTGAATAATTCTTTTCCACAATGTAACTGTAGTCTGGGACCTAATAAAAGCTTATATTATTTTCATGAGTTAAACTTGTATTTCTTTTTGAAAATGATTATACTTACTGTGATTATACTGCACATAAATTCTTGACAAATATTATCCAAGTCATTATTAAATAAAAGGTCAACGATAGTATTATTTAATTGTGTATCAACTATTTCCCATTTCCCATGTTCATTACAAAACCAAGTTAAATCTGAAGTAGAATTATGATTACCTGTATTATTTAATTTAATCTCACCAGTGCTAATACATTTAAGAATTATCTTTCCCATGTAAGTATAGCCTTCAACAAAGTATTCTAAATTTTTATAAGTGCCATTAAATGGTATTTTACTATCCAATTTTTTATTTTGATCATCTTTCCACATAGTAGAATTTGTTTTATAAAATATTGTTTTAGTAGAATTTGGATTTGTTTTTTCATTAAGGACATGAAAAAATGGATGATTTAAGATTGGGCATTCTTGAAGTTCGCAGGACGATAACGTAGATGACCATTGTCCATTTTCTGTACAAATTCTCACGCTATCACCGATGACTTTATATCCTATATCACATTGTACTAAAATTTGAGCGCCAATCGTGAACTCATCTTCCAAATTTTGTTCTTCTTTGGCATCATCATCACTTTCTTCTGATGTAATTTCTGTATTCGTATAATTAGACGTCGTTTTTATTTTCGTAAGTTCAATAGTGTAATTATTTTGTGTTTTAAATAATAATTTGCCATTATTTATAATGTTAGGCCATGGACACTTGAAAGGTATACAATCAGGAACAAATCCGATCCAAGTACCATTTTCTGAACATTGAAGTTTAAATTGACTTAACAAATTATGGTTGCTTTGAAACTTATATCCTGGATAGCAGGAGTATCCAATAATATCATTAAACTCATAGTTTTTTTCGAAGGTATTATTAATCGTTTGTAGATTAAATTTTGTACTGAAAGTTCCCTGGAGATTATTTGAACTTACAGAAACTATATAGCCATTCTTAATCCTACGTAAATATTATAAAAAGTCATTTATTTATTATGAAATTATAATAACATTTTTGTAAGTGATTATATTTCTCACTCTTTTGGTGCTGAACATCCATAAGTTATACATGTAGGTCTTTCATGATCCCATAGTCCTGATTCCAAACATGTTAAAAATTTTTCTCCTATTAAACGAAATCCGACATCGCATTTGAATTCGATTTGTTGCCCTACCTATGAACAATATTTAGTAGAAATTCCCTTTTTTCTATAATATATACAAATAGATCACACCTGTAGAATTGAAAGATCATCTCTTTCATATTCTTCTAACACGTACTCGATATCTCCGTGTTCTGGAGCCAGTAAATTCTTGCACGTTTTTCCTATTATAAACGAACATTAAAATATGAAAATTATAATCATGAAAATATTAATAAGTATATTTTATTTTTATAGGCTTAATATTCATTATGAAATTGTACAATTATTACCTATACAAACTGGAGGTAATCCATTCCATTTCCCATCGGCATTACAGATTCTACGAGGATTTCCTCGAAGTTCATAACCAGTTAAGCAGAAATAATGTACTTCATCTCCGTATAAATATGACCTACCATGTATACGACCTCGTGGAAAATATCCCGGGAAACCGCATTTTCTTCCTTAAATAAGAATTAAAAATGTCATTATAAAAACAAATATAATTAAGTGAAGATAAAATTCGTAAAATATCATATTTCACTCTTAGAATATGAAACTGCGGAGCATAAGACTAGATATAAATTTTCAGCCTATCGTATTCTAAAACAAAACAATGGTTTATGAAGTTAACTATTATGTTCACATGAAGAAAATTTTCTTGAAGTACATGTATCAAAGTAAAAGAAGTGATTTCAATAAATTTCTATTAAATAATGCTTCCAAGTAGAAAAGCATGGAATTTGATAAAGAATGCGATTGTTACAAATTATTTTATATACAAATAATTTTTTAAATTAAAAACATTTCGTTTACAAATTTTTTAAAATTAACAATTATATTTTTTAAATTAATATTCGATTTTAAAAAATATGAATAATCGATTGTAAATATTATATTACAATATCTCTATTCTTACTGGTGCAAATGGGTGTGTAGTATCCTTCCCATTGTCCGTGCTTAAGACATTTTACTTTTAAAGATCGATATTCTTTATTACGAAATCGCACTACATAACCATCATCACAATAATAAGTGATGTTTGATGCGTCTTCACTGATGTTTATGTTACCTTTAAATGGTATGACGGGTAAGGGGCAACCACGGCAAAATGAAGTGCTTAATATCTACGAATATTAGGAGGCGAAATTTATCATAGAGTTCGAAAGAAAGTCTATTTTAAGAAATGTATAATTACCGCTACGTCACCATGAACATATTCTTGGATCTGCGACCATGCAATTACATCACCATGGTATTTTTGACATGTATTGAATAAATGTTTGACATCTTTTGCTACTAAAATTGTGCTCCAAACATCCAGTAATGTCAATTTTCCCAAAAAGGACTCTGACTCCGAAAATCCTCCTCCGACGCGATCTTGTTCTTGTCCAATTATGAGAGTTCCATTACCTAATTCAGACAAACATTTTTTTTTTTTTTAATTGAATATGATATATCCTTAGTAATAATAATAATAAATACTAAATATATAAAAACAATATATTATTTAATCACTTTGCATTACTATTTTAATATGATTTTGGCTTAAATGGTTTAAGTACGCATATTTATGTATTTTGTAGATAAAAGTTTTAGAACCCTTAATACACCTTGAATAGAAGTTCCTTTCGCCAATTGGGTTCCATTGTCTCTCAAAAGGCCGTCGATAAATATATTCCAGGAGCCATTTTCTGCTTCCCAGGTAAAGCAAACGAAATGCCAATGACCATCGTTTACTTTAATATCAGTTATTATTTTCTCACCATTGAGATATATAACCAGCCTATGAAATCAAAACAGTAACATTTAATATAAATCGAAAATATTTTATTTTTATTCAAGAAAACATTTTGTTACCCATTATAATCAGTCAAAGTGAATGCATTATCGTAATAACGTGTCGCATAAGATAACACAGTGCCATAATTAAACGTATCTTTCGATTGTAGCCATAAACATGTACTTAACTGAAATTATTAAACTTGTTATTTCTCTTTATTCGTTTTCTAAATTTGTTTGTTACCTTTGAAAGATTCGTCGTAGGACCTTTCATACTGATATAATCAGTAGTTCCCGATTTCGTAAAATGTATCGTATAATCAGATGATAGTTCTGCAAAGACACAATAAATTATTTAGAAAGAAATCATGAATTAACATGAAAAAGTTTCTTAATTTAAAAATTTTATTTATTTGTTTAAAAAATGATGTACGAGAATATTTATTAAGACTATACTTTCCAGTCTCGCAATGACGTCCTGTGAATAAGATAGGGCATATGCACGTATAATTAAAAATGTTATTAACACAATTTCCATTATTCAAACATGGATGGCTCTCACAGTGATCCTGTTTTATGCTACAATTTTCTCCAGTATAACCATTTATACATTCGCATCTAAAAATCAAGAAATATTTTATTTTTCGTTAATTTTTAATCTCTCTCATTATATCTATATCAAATTATAAATATTACATTTTATTAATTGTACCTATATCTACCTTTATCTATAGTTACCTGTAACTTAATTTTGTTGCATTTTCTTCTTCTATATTTATGCAATACGAGTTTTCATTGCACGGTAACCAATCACAAGGCAATAAATTACAATAGCGACCGAGAAAACCAGGTTTGCAAAAGCACTGCCAGGTCCCATCAATGTTCTGACAAGTAGATCCTTCCATACAAGGCGAAGGATGACAACGATCCACAGCAATTTCACAAAATTCACCTGAATATTTTTGTTCATAAAAATTTAGTCTTCTAGATAATAATATTTTTTATTAGTATTTATTTCTATAATTTGTAAATGCACCTTCGAAGCCATTCTTGCACTCGCAGACATAGTCATTTTCTGTGCTCATGCATGTACCATTGTTTTGACATGGATTAATGGTACATTCATCAATGTATTGCTATATATTATTTTACTTTTTATTTATTTATTTCTATTTTTACTATTTTTATTTTAGTGAATTATAATTACTTTACCTCACAATTACTACCTGAATATCCATTTTTGCACGTACAAGTATATAAAACTGTATTATTTATAAAACTTTGTACGTTACAAGTACCTTCATTTATGCAGGGCGAAGAACCACACGGATTTCGAAATGTTTCACATTTTGAACCTAATTAAAATTTTATGATATTTATTATAATTATAACAATTATATTTCTTTTAGGTCATTGTTTAATAAAGTACATTTACAATTTATTATGTTGTAAATTAAATAATTACCGATGTAGTACTCAGGACATTCGCAACTGAAACTGTCTTCCTCTTCTGTACATTGTCCACCATTCAAACACGATTTTATGTCGCAAATATTTGTTTCAATTTTATAAGAAGGTAGACAATCATGTACATCGTTAGTTCCATGATTTTTGGTAGTAGTATTAAATGGACATGAAAGACAATGTGTTTGTCCATATTCTGGTTGATAGAATCCAATATCGCACATTATGCAAGGTTCAACAGCAAGACGTGTATTTTGATAACGCTTCTTTCGAGAATAATATCCTGGTCTGCATAAATCTAAATAGGAACAATACATATTTATTTAATGGAAATAAAACAAAATAAAAAATAAAGTATTTTTATATTGAAATAAATTCTTCATCTGATTTTTATACGAAAAATTAATTTAAAATAAATTACCTAAATTACCCAAAAGTATTTAAACATTAAAAAAAAAAAAAAAAAAAGTTTATAAGATACTCACTTATACAATCTCGTATAGATTTCGAATGAATTTTTTTCGTTGAGGTGTGTTCAGGGCAATATTTGCATTTTACAGATCCAGTTGTGTCTTCGTATTCTCCAAGAGGGCATGATTGACATCGCTTAGTTGAGGCATTGAAGAAAGTACCCAATGGACATTTTACTATAATTTAAATAAACATAAAAATTAAGTTTCAACGGCCCCTAGTGTCAAGAAAATTCATTTAATTAGTAATTATTAATTGTATTAAATATTTACTGCAAGTATGTTTCTTTAAAACGCTTCCTGGGTCGCAAAGTTCCTCAAAATTCTTAAACACGAGATGTAAATTTAATGCAAGTTTCGCAATTTCTTGATTTGTTTTATTATTTAGCAAATTCAATTTTCCAGATCGTGACAACGCTTCTATCTTCTGTCTCAATTTTAGAATTCCTTCCCGTGGATTTTCGATGTATTCTTCGATTATTTTTCCTACGTTAAACGATATTCTATATATATTCAAAGGTCAGCAATACATAAAAGCGCATGCTTATCAAAATCTCTTTCATTTTCTCAATGACAAGTTTTTTATTAAAATTTTATGTAAAACCGACTTACCTAAGAACTTGAATTTTATTTCTATTTTCTCTTTTTTCTTTCGCATTTTCGTTTTGTTTCTATGATCATTAACTTTAGCATCTCGTTTAGATTTTTTATTAACATCATTCGTTATCATTTTGTTACTTATGAATAATTTAAAAGTACAAGTATCGTCATAGTTAAATTCTCTTCGTTTTCTTATTACATCGGAATAAATCGTATTTGGCGATGGAATAATTTCGCATTCAGGATCAAAGGTAATGAGATTGCATTCGATATCATTTCCACAGATGTCGAGCAACGTCGATCTTAAATCGGCAGTAATATATTCGCTCAGCTAATTTAAATTATAATAAAAAGGAATATTTTATATGATTGACTATATTATCGTACCAAAGAAATGAAGAATTGCTACTTACTTCGCGGAGGGTTGTTTGATTATCGCAAACATTTGTTGCATTTCCTTCTAATATAATACTTCCTTCTTGGGATGCGCTTTTGGGAAGTATTGACTCTAAGTAAAAAATATGAAAATATGTTTATGCAATATCAATCAAATTGAATACAAAAATTAGATGTCATAATTAACATACCAGAGCAATCAGGAAAATAATTATCTTCAAACCAATTAGATAAATTTTCATTACATTTTAATAACAATATATCTTCCATGACTCGAAGATTTGATTCTTCAGTAGCGAATCCATATCCTTCTTCGCAACTTATGGAACATTCATTTGTTTCGTTTATTGATGATGGACATTTTGAGTAACCATTTAATACCTTTGGAACTTCTTTACAGACATCTGAACAAGAAAAAATAAATAGAAGCCAATGATTTCTATCATATAACAAATGATAATCTTTACAATCTATATTTTTATTAAAATGTAAGTGAACAATTATATAATATTATAATTAAATTATTTAGCACTTCATTTTGTAAAGAATTAATAAATGCTTTACTAAATAATTATAAGTTAGTTATAATAATTATAATAAATAATGATAAGTAATGAATTAATAAACTAATTAAATTATTATGATACCTTTTATAGTAACATTTAGAATGCATGATGCTTTATTATCATATTTGTCGATGGCATTATAGATTACTTGGGTTAATCCGATAGGAAATGTGTTTTCTCCCGGAAAATAATTTTGCTCTACCTGTACAGGTGATTTAGAATTATCGTGAAAACCAGGTTCATCCCAACTTACATTATTTATTCCCACTCCATTATCGGTAAAAAATATAGGAGGATCTATGCAATTCTCAATCATTGGTGGTTCTGTATCTAAGGAAATTATAGTTAATAATATAATTATAAATATTATATAATATTTTTAAGATATAAATTAAATCGAATGAAACGATCTTATTTTGTAAAAAAGTTAACTTACCGAGAACCTTAATTTTAAATTTGCACCTAGCTTTATTTCCTGATGAATCTTGTGCTACATACACCACTGTACGTACTCCAATTTTTACTTTCCATGGAAATGTAATATACGGTTTACTCCACAATATGGGCGATTTATCTACATTATCAGTTACGTTCGGCATTGTCCAGTTTACATATGTATATTTTTTTCCTGGCAGGTTCTTCGTAATAATGTCGGATGGACAAGTAATCGAGGGTGGTATTTTATCTGGAAAATGATAAATTAACATGTATATACTGTATTTAAAAAATAAAAACTCATAACATGTACATTGAAATTCATCTTTTAAACAGTAACAAATAGAACATAGCATTTTGCATTACCTATGCAACGATTAACTGTTCGGCGTTGTGTCCAAACGCCAGCACGGCCGCCACAGTATCTAAAGCGCGGACCTTCGAGCACAAAACCCTCGTTGCATAATACAGTACAATTTGTTGCAAACGTCACCTTATTTGGACCAGAACAATATTCCGGAAAAATTTGTCCATTCATAATTTGTTTCAAAGGTTCACATTTTATTGCTATAAATAGATGCATATATAAATAAGTAAACGAGAAGTAACCAAGTATTTAAGAAATTCTAATAAATAATTTAATGTCAAGTCAGAGAAATATACAAGACAAATAAATTTGAATCAAAATGAATAATAAATAATTCCATTATTGATAAAACTATAGATTTTTATACTAATATTAGATAAAATCTTTAATTTATAGAATACTGCAAGCTTCATAGAACCTTTGGTAGCATTTTAAAGATTCCTGTTTGGGATTTTAATAGCATTTAATTAAATTTGCACCTAGCTTTATTTCCTGATGAATCTTGTGCTACATACACCACTGTACGTACTCCAATTTTTACTTTCCATGGAAATGTAATATACGGTTTACTCCACAATATGGGCGATTTATCTACATTATCAGTTACGTTCGGCATTGTCCAGTTTACATATGTATATTTTTTTCCTGGCAGGTTCTTCGTAATAATGTCGGATGGACAAGTAATCGAGGGTGGTATTTTATCTGGAAAATGATAAATTAACATGTATATACTGTATTTAAAAAATAAAAACTCATAACATGTACATTGAAATTCATCTTTTAAACAGTAACAAATAGAACATAGCATTTTGCATTACCTATGCAACGATTAACTGTTCGGCGTTGTGTCCAAACGCCAGCACGGCCGCCACAGTATCTAAAGCGCGGACCTTCGAGCACAAAACCCTCGTTGCATAATACAGTACAATTTGTTGCAAACGTCACCTTATTTGGACCAGAACAATATTCCGGAAAAATTTGTCCATTCATAATTTGTTTCAAAGGTTCACATTTTATTGCTATAAATAGATGCATATATAAATAAGTAAACGAGAAGTAACCAAGTATTTAAGAAATTCTAATAAATAATTTAATGTCAAGTCAGAGAAATATACAAGACAAATAAATTTGAATCAAAATGAATAATAAATAATTCCATTATTGATAAAACTATAGATTTTTATACTAATATTAGATAAAATCTTTAATTTATAGAATACTGCAAGCTTCATAGAACCTTTGGTAGCATTTTAAAGATTCCTGTTTGGGATTTTAATAGCATTTATAATTTGGAATTTCGGACATTGAGGCTATGAAGATTTGTGGTCCTTTGGGAACTTTACTTAGGTCTTTGAAAATTGTAGGAGTAAAGAACTATCTATATAGTATATCATAATGTATATAGTCCTTATTAAACCTTTGTTTGTTACGTTATATTTTATAGATTTAAATGACGTTCGTCCTGTGGACTAATAAAACATAGCATGGCCTCCATCGATTCTTTTGGATCTAATTTTTGGATCTAAAAAAATTTACAATTTTTAAATTATATATGTTATATGCACCTTTAAACATAAACATATACACCTCTCAATTGAGTTATTCAGTTTAGAGTGACCTTTGTCCTGTCATGAGAATTGAGCTTTTTTAATTTAAAATTTAATCTGTAACTGATCGTTACAATGTAACTTAATCGTTTTATATGTTTTATATATTTAAAAATGATCATAAAATTCACCTTTACAAGTAGCTTTGAGACCATCCCATTGAGACAAGGGTAAACAATTGCGAATTTTACTTCCACGAAGTTGATAACCGATTTCGCATTTGAATTGACAACGTGCGTCGATCGGATAAGTTGTCGTGTCTTCTGTAATCAAACGCTGATCTTCATCGTTTTGACAGCGCATGCGCCCATGCGTAGGAATTCGAAGTGCGGGGCAAGTCTTCACTATTCAAACGTAATGCATATTTAAAAGTTTGAGAGAATATTTCCAAATTATAACATATTAAATATTACATTTTACAACAGTATTTAACGAACTAAATATATACGTTAAATAAAATTATATAAATGAACTTACGCAAACATTTTGGTTCGTTTCCAGACCAATTGCCATCTTTCCCACAAAGTCGAATACTATCGCCTGTGAGATAGAAACCGATTCTGCACCTTATACCACAAGCTGCATGAACAACGTTGCTGCACGCACTTGCTTTTACCAAATATCCATTTTCCGGTACTTTCAATTTCGGACATGTTATGACTGTGAAGAAAAGAGAAAAATAAATATTTAAAATACGAAGTACAAATTTTTGAAATACTGGTTTTGAACAATAAAAATAAAAGAAGCATAAATAGGAGATAAATAGTAACATCACAGTGCATGAGAAATATCCTGAACAGCTGTAAATTTAATATACAACAACTTACTTCACTTGCTTTTGGAATGCAGACAAGTTCTTTGTAATTTGTGTCACTAATTTTATAACTCTAACCTTCACTGCGAATAAACTTAATGTTCTCTGACAACTCTCTCAGGATTTAAATAGTTACTTAGATTTAAAATTGAAGCTGAAAATAATGGATCCACGTTGTAATAAACCTCGCGATTTTGTTGCTATTTATAAAAATTTAACTGAAGAGGTGCACAAAATAAAGCACTCGCGAATGAAATGGTTCCAGAAATACGAATGGTTATTGGACGAACACAAGTATTTAAACAGATTTGTTAAGCTACATAGTTCTAAGCAGCAAATTCTTATCAATGATAAATTTTAAAGAAATCTGAAGAAAGAGATAGAAAAATTGTGCGAAGAAAAACAGACTGTTATTGCCACGGAAACGTTTGTTCCTGAAGAGGGAAAATCTTGTTTGCCAGCCCCGGTTACTGCCACTGGCGAGGTATTAACAATTAATCATATTAAATAATAAAATGATTTATAACTAACTGTAAGTATTTATCTGAAAAAAACGAGAGTAGGCTTAATCTGTTATGAAATGTAATGAAGTAGCAAGTGAATACATTGTTCAAATTGGTATGTCTGACCATGAACAATAAAACTTATTTTCTAGTACGGTTGGCTAGCATCAAAACCGAAATTTAAATTAGAAAAATACGGAGCTTATACGCCACAATATCCTGATCCTCTTAAGGAGGTAACACCATTACTGGGAAATATGCCTGCTATTGCTGCAGGCATAGGATATATTTGGTAAAAGATTGGGTTAATGTAAGAATAAATGAATTAATAAATTTTCAAATAACCGAACTGCATTTTGAATTACCCTCGCATTTATTTCCGTCTGTTACAAATCCAGAAGCGCAAACGCAATGATCCACAGACGTTGCCGGTACTCTAATAGTCACGTGATTCGCATCAGGACACGATATACACATGGACGTAAAATCACCGGAAATTTCTCTAGATGCATATGTGCCATTAGGACAAGCTGAAAAGATTCAATTAAACGTAAACTATAATAATATAGAATAAACGTAATATCGTTAATTTTTTGTACTTCACTTTGAAATACGTAAGATTTTTTAATACATAATTACATAATATAACACTCGCATAATTTAAGTTTGGTTCTTTATTTTATTTCCATTGCAGAATTTCTGTCTTTCTTTTGTACTATGAAAAAGAATTAAGGTTATGTTTTACGCAGAAATGGATAAAATTGATCGATTCTCTAATTCTGTAATAAAATAATAATAATAAATAACCCAATGAAGTCAAAATTGAACTTTACAAGTGTCAATGATTTAACTAAAGAATTCCAGGTGGAAAATCCTTCGAGTTTCGTATAAAAACAGAGAAGAATTCATATTGTTGTTAAACTCACGATGACAAGAACCTCTGAAACCAGAGCCAAAATATCCTGTGGGGCAAATACAAGCGTAATGACCAGTCACCATGCCACAGGCGCACGTGGCGAAATTATCGCAACAATTTTGCTCGGTTCCGACTTTGCTGATATTCCTGCATAAGAGATTACAATTATCTGGCAACTTCACTGGTACGTATTTGCCTGTTTTCAAATCTGTAACAACGGAAACGAGATGAATTCACATTAGATAAAGAACTCTTTGTTTCATTTACATAAATAAACAACAAGTCATGTTGAGTTCATTGTTGTTTTACTTAACTGTACGACTATAAATCAATTTTAATCGTGGTAAACAAAAATTATTTCTTAAAAATTAATTTGTTAGATATTTTAATAATTATTTTATTATTTAAGTTATGACATTTCAATTGAATTTCATACACTTACCACGATGTAAAGCTCGTCGTACCAAAGCCTCAAATTCCGTAAAACTGTCGAGAAAATAGCTATATGTGTCCCCTGGAATGCTGGCTATGTCGTACAACTCGTTGACATTTCCTGTTCTTATCCCAAATGTAAATATCGTAGCACCTGCGCCTTTCAGAAGGCTCGCTGCAGGTCGTGGATCACCACCATTGCTGAATCCATCAGTTATAAGGAACACTGCCTTTTTTGCATCCAATCGACTTTTCTCAAGAATTCTCTAATAAAATGTTATTGGACGTTTGAAAATTTATATTAAATATTCAATGTTTATTTTAATGTAATTTCAAATTTATTCGATTCCTTTTTTTTAGCAATAATAGCTTTTAAATTCTAAATAGTATTCAACCAATTTTTTTTATTTATAATCATAGTTCGAAAATTAATTTAATATCTTCATACTTTGATATAAACAGTTGTTAATTGTCGTATTATTATATTTTATATTTCCTACAGGATATCGGCGTTAAAGGAAAATTAAGAATAAAATTGAAAACGCTTACAAGGGCTTCCAAAAGTGCACCACGCGTGTACGTTCCACCACCAGTGTAACTAATATTATTCAACTGTTTGTTTAACAAATAACATTTGTTATCATTTTCACTGGTACGAGATATTTGATCGACAGTCCGTTTAATGTTTCTTTTTCCACCAAATGTTACGACTGCGACTCTTGTTGCAAAACGATCCACGGAAAAATCGGACAAAAGATGTTTTACAAAATTCAATTCACTGTGGAAATTCTTTAAACCAACTGATCCTGAAGCATCGACCAGAAACACTAATTCCACCTAACAAAAATTTGACTTTAAAGCCAGTCACTATCATCGAGGAAATCAAAAGTGAATGACGTCATGCAAACAAATTTTATTTGGTATTTATTACATTTTTGTCTTTAATTCTTGATTTGTAAAAATATTTATTCATAATCTTGAATTCATAAATATTTTTATTTATGTTTCTTCATTTATAAAAATACTTATCCACGATTGTTAATTTGTACAAAAAGTTTTATAAATTTTGCAAACGTTTAATAAGGAAATTGATTTGCAAAATTTGCTATTACCTTATCAGTTTCATTTCTCAAATGGTCAATATGAGTTTTTAAAAGTCGCGATAAAATATCAGCTTTCTTCCTGAATGTCTTCTCGATATTTTCCAAACTAGCATTTACTGTATTCTGATTTGTACTTCTCTTATCCTTGAAATTAGGAAGTAACGATACTGTTTCATTCTCACCTGATACTCCGAAATACAAGTCTCTGTTAAGTCGACTAATTTCATCGAAAAACGCGATCGTGGTTAAACAACACAATGACAACCAAATCAAAGTACATATTCTTACAACTTGATCGATCATATTTGTAATAAGCATTCACATAAAACATGTGATAACAGAGGGTCTACGTTTGATGATACTTTTAAGACATATCTCACGAACCGAAAGAAATCTCTTAAATTTCTTATACCGATTAAATTAACACAATACTTTAAATTTACTCGTCATTTTTTTGCAAAGTTTCTTTCTTCGACGTTTGCACATATCATAAAAGTATACTTCTTTCTCAGTTTACGAAATATTGATGGTAACGACAAGTTTCGAGTAATCAAAGTATCTTAATACAAAAATTTTGTAAAATACAAATAAGTTTTGAGAAATTACTCCTCCGCTTTTTGTTTTTATCATTAATTATGTTTATTAGGAGGACGCACTCTTTGAAAACACAGTAAAAGATAGGAAGATCAACTGTCGATACTTTGAGCTGAACTGCTACTGCTTCAAAGAGGATCGTGTAAACGAGCATCTAAATAGTGTTCGAGCTTTGAAAAGTTGAGAACAAGGGACTCTCTGTTCCACTTGTACCGTGCACACGTGTTCATACTCATCGACTGATCTCGACGAATGTCCGATTTATTAGCAAATCCAATAGAATTATCTCGTATACCAGCTTACACTGAAAGTCGAAGGAAATAGTCAAAAATTTATTGAAAAGATCACGGTCGTGTTAAAAGATCGCTGTGATTGCTGCGATATTGTTACTATATCTCTGTATCGTTTTAATTTTGAAAGAATCTTATTTGAATCAGTTTGAATTACTTTACATTCAATATTTTATAGTCTAAAATACAAAAATTTGGCAAAGGGTCTTCAACAGTATACTTCAAAATTCTTTAACATGAATACATTTTATGTGTCTTCTTGGTTGAAACTTCTTCGAGCGACTTCAAAGCTCGATGGACATTGCTTCGATAATTATAAACAGTACACAGTAAAAAGAATCTTAATTATTCTAAATTATGCTAGTAAAGCCAGTATCGCACCTTGAACACACTTTTACAATAAAATCGGAATAAAATACAAAATTTCTGTGCTCCGAATAATTATAAGCTATGGTAAGTTTCACAATTTCTTCACGTCTTGTAATTCATACGTTACAAGAACTTCATTTACTTCACTTAGACATATTAATGTTATTATTCTTCTTATACTCCAGCAGCTATGAAATCTCCTTCGCGAAAACAGCAAACGTAGAAGACTGAAAAACCAGAAGAACGTATAGAGAATTACGGAAGATTAATATTATTTGAAATAATAATTCTTCAATGAATGAGATGCATCGTGAACGTAAAGTTTTCTGTGTAATATTGTTTTGTTCATCCACGTGTCTATGATAGCGTTCGAGGAAGAGTGTCACGTTTATGTCACGTGTAGGAGAAATGTTAAACGGTGGTCAGTCAGAAAAATACTTACAGTTTCTGTGTGACCCGCATACATATCACATCAATGAGGCGTAAATTGATTTTTCTGACTGGGATATATCGCGAGAAACCACGCATATATATCAACTGCCAACGATCATATACGATGATTTAAAGTACTCGGTGTTTTCGCGATACCATTGTCACACATTTTGCACAGTTTATCGAGCCCTCGCGCTCAGATAACGGGCATCCTCTGACGATTGGTACGACTTGCGAAATTTTTCAATCGGTCACGAATTTTACATTGTTTATCCGAAATTCCAAGTGTTACGAAATAATTATCAATGTTTTACTTTTACGTATGTATACATTTATTCTATTTTTAGCGGTCGATGAAACGATCTCCTCTAATAATGTCTGGTACGCCAACGGTACGCATTACTGACGGAAAAAGAGAACGAATTATGTTGATTTCGATTGTGATAACAACAACAATGATGATGATAATAGTTGGAGATTGCACAGCTTACAAAAAGGATACGGTCCCACGATTGTTGGATGTTCTTCATTACCTTCGGAAGTCGAAGGAACTTCATGAAAATCAGGGATACATCGAGCAATGCCGTGCCACGAATCTATGGAAGGAACAATTGGGTTACGTGAATGTATTTACATTTCTGGATCCTGTCTGGTATTACAGCCACAGGCAAGCAATCATGTAAGTTACTGTAACAATAATGGATGTAGTTTTAATAACAATTATGTGAAAGTTAAATACTAATTATCAATATTTTATTCAAACGTGAAAATTTGTTTCTTTATCTTTTTAGGTTTTGCTATTTTTAATATTTTTAATAATTTGTTTAAATGTGTAGATACGATTATTTCATATTTTATATAAATCATTCTTAAGTTTCCTACGAATAATTTTTTATCAGAGTAAAAAATATTTCCACGAAACGATGCCTATAAAAATAATTTGATGCAAGGTTGGAATTACTGAAGAAGAGATTAGAAAATTCTGGCTTTTCGAATATCTTATTCTTTGTGGTAACACCGCCTCCATATTTGCCGGAAGACGACATGGAAAATAATGTGGAGATAAAAACATGGAGAGAAATATCTAAAAATATGCAGGGATCTGAATATTTCTTAGGCGAGGAAGGAACACTGTTTAGTGACCTTGCAAGGAAGAAGAAGGGCATTATTTTTCTTCAAGACTCTTCCGAGTTGGGCATTTGGAAAAGCTTTCGTGCCTCAAGGAATGAAGTAGTTATCATTGATCGGTGAGTATTTAATCGCTAAATTTTAATATGGTTAAATTATAAAATATTTGAATTTTACAAGTATATATAAGTCTTATTTGCTTTTGAAGTATATTACAAGATAAGTTATTTAAAAAATTATTTTAAGAATTAAATAAAATTCTAAATATTTATGTTTAACATTTGTAAAATTAAATATACCTAAAATTTTGGCATTTGTTATATTCTTTATATAGTGATTATTTTGTATTTTGTATTTATCTTATTCTTACAATTTTATTAAAATGTGAATTCTTATTGTAGCTGCGGCAAATTAACTTATCAGATTATAGTACCTTGGAGTATACTATACTTCCCTTATGTTAAAGCAGCTATACTTTCCACCTACAAAGAAGATCCATGTGGTCCTTGCTATGTAAGCAAGATTTATATAAAAAATGGACCGCAATTAAAACTAACTATATAAAAAAAAGTAATGCATAAATTTATTTAAAAAAAAAAATGATTTGTTTATAAATAGGAATATTCGTCGGCAACACTCAATTCAATGACTTATGAAGAGCATCGTTTAAAAACTATAAATTCAGATGAAGCAAGCATAGATGAAAATGTCAATGCACGTACAAAAAGAATAGTTACTGATTTGCATACTATTAATATACAATCAAGAAGAATTGAAGATGATAAAAATATTAGCACTACCGTTTCTTTCGATACAAATGTTTATGAACGTACGATTTATGATGTCACAACTGAGACATCAACTACACTAAATACAGAAACTACAGAAAATAAAAATGATAATATACGAGACAACCCATTTCTAACCGATAAAAATATTGAAATAACTACTGTAATACCATTCGAACAAAAAGAAATTATATCAACTATGTCAAATTTCGAAACAACTGAAGTTTACGAAGACGCTCAGGATTGCACATTTTCGAAAAAACAAATAGATGAAAATAACAACAATTCGTTTTCCACAACTAATGATTCGAATATTGACTTACCAAATCATGATTATCGCGACATTAAATCGGATATTATTTTAAGAGATATAAAAAGAAAGGGACAAGAAGGTAGATGTTTAATTTAATATTAAGAATAACATATTTTATTAAACATCGAATATTCTGAATTAATATTACATAAAATTATATGTATTAAATAACATTTCTAAAAAACCCACTACTAAATGAGATTTTCAAAAATATTCCATATCGAAATATATAAAATTAATTTTCTTTTAACAAATATTTATTTTTTACGCTACTAAACAGTAAACGAAAATCCTACACAAGAGTTACAAATTCAAAAGGACGAAGGTATACCTCTACGTATTATATTGTACGCTCCGCATTTACATGAAGAAAATGGAACATTGAAAACATATACGCATTTAGTTCTAAAAACAAGAAATCGAGATTATCATGATCATTTTCATAGTAGGAGTAAAACTCTTAATCAAGAGGTAGAGTATATATAATAAACATAAGTTTCTCTTAAATTTACTTTCTTTTAAAGTATTCCTTTTAATCATTAAAAACGATAAGCCAGCAGTAATAGAAAGATCAAATTCAATGATATTAAACGATAAGAAATTGGCCGAGTACGTACATACTGTGGATGAAAGCCCAGGAATATATGGAGAAATTGCAGATTATTGGCAAACTACCGACAAAGATGAATTCGATAATAAAAATGAAGATACAGAACTTACAGATTACGATTACGCTACGGTAACAATATTTAAGAATTTTTGTTCACTATTAATGTGTTGTTGATAGCATTAGAATGTTGTGTCAAATATTCTAGGCAGAAGATATAGGAAGCAGTATTAACTCCTTAGCTTACGATGTCGTGAGAGACACGTCTCACGCTAACCAGACCAAACGTAAACAGCACGTGTGAGAAATGTGACATGGCAATCCAGTCAAATTTAAACATCACGTCTCTCAGACGAGATACGGCAATCAGGTCAAACCTAAATACTACGTCTGAGAAACGTAGTACGTCGTCTGGGCATAACGCAACAAACAGTTACTAAGCCCTTAGAAATGTCTTTAGAAAGAATATTAACACTAGGTTTACGGACGCTATCTGTATACCTATTTCTAAGGACACCTGTCAAATTGACAGGTAAAGGAAACCACGTGCCTTTTTCTTTAACGATTAGTTTAATTTAAAAACAATTATATATTATATTAACACTCTTAATATAAGTTAACTAAATCTGTTACCATCGTATAATTGGAGCAACCCTTCCGTCAAATTGACGGGTTCCGTAAATCTAGTGTTAAGCGTTGATGAGGACATTAAAAGTTGTGCTAACATCGCTAACAGTGATTTAATAGATATTTTAAATAGTGATAATGACAGTAGTGATATTTTATTTTCTATACGAAAACGTTGGAAGCAACTGGTTATTGAGAAGATGATACTGACGATGAAGACTACGGTAATCATCGACAATCAAAGTATGGATTTAGACAGAAAAAACTAAGGAATCAAAAATCTGGAACTATACGGAGATTAAAAATAAATAAATCTTATAAATCTTTCTTGTACAATAATCAATTGATAGTCATTATTTATGAAACATCTTGCAAAATAAAATGAATTGTACTTTATACATGTATTTATATAGTAAAAGACATGCGCGATTTGGGTCACTTCGAACGCTCTCAGCCACAACTAAGAATGGTCTGACACGTAACCGATTTGGCTGTTTATGACCCGCGCTATTGGAACTTGAATTGTAAGGCAAGGGATTAACAATGCTTTTGACAATAAAAGTGGCATATTACAACCAAGCGATATAATTGATTCACATAAGAATATTGAAAGTAACGATGACTTGAATGATGTTATGTAACATAGATTAATTGAGCATCACAATAAATTATAAACAAGGATTTACTATATTCTTTAACATGTTAATCACATTTATACTAAACAAAAGTACTATTGGAAAAATACGCTATACCGGACTGCACAGATAACAATCATGTAACTATAAAATAGATAAGAAAATGAATGTTATTTATACGTCATTTTACACTTTATAAACAGTTGGACATGTCGTCTATATGTAAGTATAAATACTTTTATGAACACATAAGGTAGAATTATAAAGTTTTTCTTATATATTACAAGTACATAAAAAACGCTCAAAATTTTTACAAAAGGTTTCTAAAGCAAGTCATCATTAATCATAAGATGAAGATATAGTAATATTAAATTTTTGATATAATAATTAATAATACATTCAAATATTCAATTACATACAAGTACATTCACTTGCAATTCTTTCTGGTTCACTCACATCATCAGAATCCAAACTATTACTATTACTTGTTGTAGTGGTACTCGATGTGGTACTTTCTGAATCTGTCTCAGAATCAGTATCGCTGCTGTCACTTGAACTTGAGCTGCTTGACAATCTGTATAAAACATAATTTACTTGTATATTACATAAGAAAAATAAATAAAATACAAATCTTCTTTACTGTGCACTTCTTCCATGCATCATGTGCATATAATGGCAAATATAGTATATATTGTTATTACTCATCAAAATAAGTTTTCAATTTAATATTTTTATGATTCACCAGTGGGAGGTGCATTTTAGTTAGTGTATTATATTAGTATATTTCAAATAAAAATTTATAATATGTACAAATATTTATTTCATTTATTAAGAAATAAATGTGTAAGCTTTATTAAGAAATAAAATTATATTCAAAACAATGCTATTGAAATACTTACAAATACTTTAAAGAATGTTTGTCTTTAATGTAGTATATAGTCTTTGGCCTTTAAAATAAAATCATATAACGTAAAGATATATAATATTTATTAATGAAACCTTAAATTTTATAAAACTTACAAAATGTTTTATATTATACTTACTCATTAACTGTTAATTCATCCATTTGGTTCACCATTTCATGTACAGAATTTTCTATAATAAGGTCTTCTTCTTGCACAAAATAAGCTGCTTGCTCTAGCTGTACTAAATCAAGATCCATTTCTTCTTTACAAGGTTGAATCTTAAAAGAGATAGATATATATTAACATATAAAAAGCTATTCTTCCATATTTGTTACTTACATTAATGAGAAGGGACTCCAATGATTCTATTAAAGATTCATTGATCTGCTGTAACCAAATTAGATAGTCCTTTATATACAATTGATTTAATATGTATCGAGGTTCATACGAATTATTGAACAGACTATGTATTTCACAGAAACGTTTTATAATGTATTTTTTTCCTAAAAATTTAATAATTTAATTATAAAACATTACAAATAAGAAACAAAAGACTATTTAAAAAACCTAGTATGATCTTTATTCTTGACTTACCTAATTTAATTACCTTCTTTACATCTTCAAAAACCTTTTCAGATAAATTCCAATTTCTAAATAGTGGATAACATATTGATCTTCTAAAACATGCTTTCATTAATTCTTTGGGATCAGAAAATTCCTAAAAATATAACAATACATAAAATAATGTAACAAAGAAAAAAATTGATATTTTCTAAAACATTTTACATACATCAAACCAAGACAAAGTGGAACTTAATTTACTAATAGTCCAACTACTTTCAACAGTATTTTCTCCTAATGTTGTTCTGTGGTTATAACAATTACCAAATAAAATATCTATTAAACTTAAAAGCAACTTATATGTTTCTTCATTGTTTAATAAATATTCTTTATTTGGAAGTTCTTTTAATAAATCCACTTCAGTTTTATTGAAGGAAACATTTTCTTTTTTCAAAGTGTCCCACTCTGCAATAAAGGAAATATATGGTTCTATACATGGTTGCATAAGATCTGCCAAATAATGTTCCTCATTGAAATCTGAAATTTCACATTTCTCTCGTAATTTTTTTCTCTCAGATTGAGGTACTGTATCTGGCATTGGAAGATCTATTATTTCTTTAATCCATGCTGGCTGAAAATAAGTAAACAAATAAATAGAAGTATAAAGATTATATGATGTAACTAATTTTGGTACAAATAAAAATATAAATACTATAAAGCATATACCTCAAACGCATCTAAGGCTCCAGATACTTTGCTTGCAAAACCATATTTTGGGGAAGTAGGTAAAAGAGGTACAGTTTCTGTAAAACTATTTTGATGTATATACCATTCATCCCCATTAGTATTTTCTTCATTTGATGAATGTTTAGTTGCCATGTCATTCATATCTTCAGAATTTGCTGATGGATTTCCAATTACTTCAATATTGGATACAATTGTAGCCTTCTTTTTTGGTGGAGCTAATAATGTACTTATCATATCTAAATTTTCAAAATGTTCCCCTTTTACTACTTTTGGAAACCTTAAAGAGAAATCTCCTTTTTCACAATCATATGCACCAAACGATGAATCATTTTCTTCTATTTCACCTGGTAGTTTTAACCTAAAATAAGGAAATTTTAAAAAGAATATTTGTAGCTATTAAATATTAATAGTTTACCTTAAATAATATGGTGTAGAATAAAATCTGAAATCTGTTCCATCAACATAAACCTCTGTGTCTTTAATATTAGCATATGGTGCATGGATAATTATTGCAACTTCTGCATCAGTTTGAGTTACTTCAAAACGTGGAGTTAACATTTTGTAATTCAGTTGAAAAATATATCTTATTTACAATTTTCCCTTTATGTTTACTAGGTGTATTATTTTACGAATTTGCAATAATACATTATTAACCAAGTATCTAACAGTATTGATGTAAGTATTAAAGTAAATATATATTAATAAATGTTTTAGTATATACCACAGTTATATACTATAACGTGAACTAGGTCTTTAAAACTTATATTTATAATATTATTTGAGTAATCAAATCGATTTTCTCAACGTCTTACATGTAATTTTATATTTTAAACTGCATTAAAGTTTTAAATATTTTTTATTTGGTTCACTCACTTCTTAAGTGACTTTCCAAACGAATTCATATGCTCTCACCTCTTAGAATATATTTTAACGGTAGTTGCAATATCGATATAACTATCGATTTACAGTTTTTCGACTGTCGATTAAACACACGTGTATTGTAGAGGCTAAAAGCTAGTATGCTATGATGAAAACTTTATAACCTAAACATTGTGCAACTGCTAAATGATATTTTGTTGAAAATGTTTAAATTTAATACAATTAATGCAAAATAAGTAGTTCATTAAAATTACTTACACTATTTCTCCAAAAGGAACTATTGCATAAGAGGTATAGCTAACATTTCGTTATTAATAAATTGTATACGGAGTTATTAAAAATAATTAATTTTTTTATTTTTAGACATAAAAAAGCACGTTACCAAAATGGTGCAACAGAAATATCACATTCCACGTTTAAGTCCCAAACATTTATATCCAAAATGCTTGATGTTTTCTATGTTTACTGCAAATGATATAAGAAATTTAAGTGTTACTAAAATAAGGACACCTTTGTCATTTAATATTTTAGGACATCCACTGAAAGGAGGTTTATATGATCCAGCATTAGGTAAACAAATTCAATAAGTAAAATAATGCAAATTAATACGTGTTTAAGTTATTTATATTGTTATATGTACAAAGGAGTAAAAGAATAATTTGCTAATTATACATATAAATTTTATTAAAATAGGTCCACTTTTTGAAAGTTCAGATCCATGTGGAACATGTGGGTGTAATGTATTTAAGTGTCCAGGTCATTTTGGGCATATTGAGTTACCTATGCCAGTTGTAAATCCATTATTTCATAGAGGATTATGTATGTTAATTAAATTATCATGCTTAAACTGTTTTAATTTACAAATTCCACCTTATGTAAAGTTATTATTATCTGCAAAATTGAAATTGCTTCAGCAAGGATATCTCAGTGATCTTGAAGGTTTAGAACAAGAAGTAATGACTGTTGCCTTATGTTCAAGTGACCCTTATAATGTTGATATGCAATCTGTTCAAAATGTTATTGAGAATTATACTGAAAATCTCCTCAATAGACCAAGATTTAATCAATCTTTTTCGCAATACAATGAAATTCAACTAAATACTAAAAATATTAATACACAGTGCCACGCATATGTTGAAAATGTTCTTAAACAATATACAACACTAAAAGTTTGTGTAACTTGTCAAGAACCCATACCAAGAATAACAACCTTAAAAAATAAAATTATGACAACTAAGATTGCTGATGCACCTAATGAGACAATACAATCACGTGGAATAATACATAAACTAGATACAGTCATGATAATGCCAGATCAATCTAAAGAGTACCTCAGGAAACTTTGGCAAAATGAAAAAGATTTTCTGAAAGTAATTATACCATGTTTTGGGATGGTAGATATTGAATATCCAACTGATATATTCTTTTTTGAAGTAATACCAGTTTTACCACCTATAGTTAGACCAGTTAATTTTGTTAATGGGCAAATGATAGAACATCCACAATCTCAAGTTTACAAGAGTATCATTCAAGATTGTCTTGTGCTTCGAAATATCATTCAAACAATTCAAGATGGTGATACAGATCAGCTACCAGAAGAAGGTAAACTTGTTTTTGAACAAATAAAAGGTAATACAGCAGTTGAAAAACTACATAATGCTTGGCAAAATTTGCAAGTAAATGTAGATCATTTAATGGATCGTGACATGAACAAAACTGCTGATTCTGCAAATTGTCAGGGATTAAAACAAGTTATAGAAAAAAAAGAGGGAATTATCAGAATGCACATGATGGGTAAAAGAGTTAATTTTGCTGCTCGTTCAGTTATTACTCCAGATCCTAATTTGAACATAGATGAAATTGGAATTCCAGAAGCTTTTGCATTGAGATTAACATATCCAATACCTGTTACACCTTGGAATGTTGTACAGTTAAGGCAATTAGTTTTAAATGGTCCTAATATCCATCCTGGTGCAGTAATGATTGAACATGAAGATGGAAGCATACAACGCATTTCTACTAAGGATTCTGTTCAAAGAGAAGCTATTGCAAAACGTCTTTTAACAACAAGTGACAAAGCTAATAAATTTTTTAAAGGCATTAAAATTGTACACAGACATTTACAAAATGGAGATATCTTGTTACTAAATCGTCAACCAACTTTACATAAACCCAGTATTATGGCTCATAAAGCACGTATTTTAAAGGGAGAAAAAACATTACGTTTACATTATGCTAATTGTAAGGCTTATAATGCAGACTTTGATGGTGATGAAATGAATGCACATTATCCTCAAAATGAATTAGCCAGAAGTGAAGGATATAATATTGCCAATGTGTCTAATCAATATCTTGTACCTAAAGATGGTACACCACTAAGTGGTCTTATTCAAGATCATATGGTTTCTGGTGTTCGTTTAACAACAAGAGGAACATTCTATTCACGTGAAGACTATATGCAATTAGTCTATACTGCTCTATCTACAATACAAGATAATATAATTCTTCTTCCTCCTAGTATTATAAAACCAGAACCTTTATGGTCTGGAAAACAAATTGTATCAACTGTGATTATTAATGTTATTCCACCAAATCAAGCACGTATTAATTTAACTGCAAATGCAAAAATTAGTGCAAAGGAATGGCAAGTTGGAAAAGCACGACATTGGAAATGTGGTACTATATTTTCAGATCCTAAAACAATGTCAGAAGCTGAAGTAGTAATACGAAATGGAGAGTTGTTATGTGGTGTGCTTGATAAAACACATTATGGTGCAACTCCATTTGGTCTTATACATTGTGTCTTTGAATTATATGGAGGAATGTGTTCCACTAAATTATTAAGTGCTTTTGGTAAATTGTTTCAAGCTGCTTTACAGAGAAATGGGTTTACGCTTGGTGTTGAAGATATTTTATTGTTAAAGAAAGCAGATAAGAAACGTAAAGAAATTATTTCTAATTGTAGAAAAATTGGAGAAGACATCCAGAAGTCAATACTAGAACTACCTAGTGATACACCTGTGGATATAGTTACATCTAAAATGGAAGAATCTTATTGGAGTAATCCTAAATTTCGCGCTCAAGTCGATCGAAAATACAAAAGTGCTCTAGATGTTTATACCAATGATATAAATAAAATATGTTTACCAGCTGGTCTTTTGAAAAAGTTTCCAAGTAATAATTTACAATTAATGGTTCAATCTGGGGCAAAAGGTTCCACTGTAAATACTATGCAGATATCTTGTTTACTTGGACAAATTGAATTGGAAGGAAAAAGGCCACCTTTAATGATCAGTGGGAAAAGTCTTCCAAGCTTTCCTGCATATGACCCAACACCAAGAGCTGGTGGTTTTATTGATGGTAGGTTTATGACAGGAATTAAACCTCAAGAATTCTTTTTTCACTGTATGGCTGGTCGTGAGGGTCTCATTGATACTGCTGTAAAAACTAGTAGATCGGGATATTTACAAAGATGTCTTATTAAACATCTTGAAGGATTAATTATTAATTATGATTCAACAGTACGAGATTCAGATGGTAGTTTAGTACAGATTTATTATGGAGAAGATGGACTTGATATACCAGGTTCACGATTCTTAAGAAACGAACAATTACAGTTCTTGATAGATAATAAACATGCAATTGTAAATGAAGAAGTGGTAAAGAATCTAAAAGAGGTATCAGATACAGACAAGATTTTAAAATTGGTGAAAAGAATTAAAAAATGGGAAAATAAAAATGGAAGTGCATTACAGAAGAGAAGAATTAGCCCATTTACAAGATATTCAAGAGAAAATATGAATATTAAGGGTTCAAAATATAAGGAAATTGATAAGAATAGTGGGAGAAACAAAGCTGCTCTTTCATATATGAGAAAGTGGATAAGAACTACTGAAGAGGATAAAAAATGGATTTATTCTGAATGCACAAGATGCCCCGATACAGTAATGTCAAAATATAGACAAGATATAGACTTTGGTGTACTTTCTGAACGATTAGAGAATTTAATAGATGATTATATAGCCAGTAAATCTAATAATTCTACTATAAAAAAGAAAGATTTAAGAGATCTCTTGTCTATGAAAGTAATGAAAATTGTTTGCCCACCTGGTGAACCAGTAGGTTTATTAGCAGCACAATCAATAGGAGAACCATCAACTCAAATGACATTAAACACTTTCCACTTTGCTGGTCGTGGAGAAATGAATGTTACATTGGGTATACCTAGATTACGTGAAATACTTATGATGGCATCCAAAAATATTAAAACACCTAGCATGGAAATACCATTCCAAAAAAATATTAAAAATTTAACAAAACGCTCTAATAAATTAAAATTAAAATTGACAAAGTGCGTTTTATCAAATGTTGTAGATAATATTAGTATAAATAGGAAAATGGAGCAATGGCCAAATAGACAATTAATATATACTATGACTATTAATTATCTTCCACATAAATCTTACAAAGGGGAATTTTGTGTTCAGCCACAAGCAATATTAAGGAGAACTGAAGAAGTATTTTTCAGAGAAATATTTAAAGAGATTAAAAAGGTTGCTAAAGTAACAGGAACTTTATTACACATTGAAGACGAAAAAAAAACCATGTATGAAGATGACGCTTTATTGGATCAAGCAGAACCCGATGATGAGACAGAATCTGCATTGAAACCACGAACGAATTTAGGGGAAATGCATGAGTCTTCGGATGAAGAAACAGCAGCAGAGGATGCAGATGCAACTCTAACGCGAACAATTTCGCGCCACAAAGAAAATCAAGAATATGAAGATCCAGAAGAAGATGAAATTGAAGACATAAATGAAAATGCAGAAGAAATGACAGAAAATGAAGATGACGATGAAAATGAAAATGAAAATGAAACTTTAAAATCTAAGAGCCAACAGCAAACAGAAAATGAAAATTATGATGTAGAAAGTGAAAGATTAGAAGATGGTGATGAAACATATAATACACAAAAAAAAAGGAATGTTGTAAGCAGGTATACTCATGCAACAGAATATGATTATGATGAGGACAAATTTACATGGTCTAAATTAACATTCTGGGTAAATATTATGAAACGTCATAAATGTACCAATACAAAATTAAAAACATGTTTTATTAAATTTTAATTTATAAAAACTTTTTTTCAGTTACCTCTTAAAATGTTAAAATTAGACTTACCAACAATAATTAGAAATGTTGCGAACAAAGTTATTTTATGGGAAGTACCTTGTATAAAACGTGCTTTTACATTCCAAAATAATGATGGAGAAACAATTCTTAAAACTGATGGTATTAATATTATAGTAAGTAAAAGTGGTGCATTGATTTTAATTTTTGTATTTTATTCTTCAATGGTGTCCTTCATTATAGGAGATGTTTAAATATGATTCAACTTTAAATTTAAACAAATTGTATTCTAATGACATTTATGGTATTTCTCAAACATATGGTATTGAAGCTGCTAATAGAGTCATTATAAAAGAAGTAAGAGATGTATTTAAAATGTATGGGATCACAGTTGATTCTAGACATTTATCTTTAATTGCGGATTATATGACATTTGATGGAACATTTCAACCGCTTAGTCGTAAAGGAATGGAAGATTCTGCATCTCCTTTACAACAAATGAGCTTTGAAAGTTCTCTTAATTTTTTGAAAAATGCAACTTTGCAAGGTAAAGAAACAAAGAATAACAATATTATTTACTTCTTGAAGAATTATGTATTAAGCTAGCATATTTTTTATTTACAGGAAAGCAAGATAACTTAGTATCTCCTTCTAGTCGATTAATGTTAGGTCAACCTTGCAAATCAGGGACAGGAGCATGTTCGTTATTATTAAAAATACAAAAACAACCAGAAACTACTTTATCAGTAGGTGCTTAATTATACAAATATTAAGTATCATCGTTGATTGTAAGTTGAAAATAATATACTAATTATATGAATTGTGAAAAAATTTCACATCATTAGACTATAAAGTAAACAATAATTATACTGTACATATATATTTTTATAAGCGGATTACATTTTATTTTGCAATGAAATATGTATAATAAAATTGACAACGTATCAATAAAAATGTATTAACTTCCTTACATTTACATAAAAAGTAATACATAATTTCAATTTTAATGATTATGAGGTTTTTCCTAGTTATCTTTGTTGATTAGTGCTAATCAATATTCTGTTTAGAAATATTTTTATTATTAAAATTATATATTCACTTGTGCTTCAGAATTGTGCTTTTAAGTCTGTTATAATTAGCACCAGAAAAGGATTCCAGCTAAATAACATAACATATAATATAAATTATCAAATGGTTTCTTTTCTTATATGAAATAGATAATACATACCACTTGACCATTTTTGATAAAAACGAAGGAAGGCATACTGATAATATCATATTCAGTAGCAAGTTCTACACATTCATCTATATCAACTTTTAAGAAAATAACATCTTGCATTTCCTATTACAAAAAAATATGTGGTAAGTAATAGTTAATAAAAATTTTTTTGTATAAAATAAATAATCTCACTTCAGCTAATTTTTCCAGTTTGGGTGAAATCATCTTACATGGACCACACCACGTAGCAAAGAAATCAATTACAACTAAAGTGTTTCCAGCTGCTTCAAGCTTATTTTTCAAGTCCATCTGTAAAGATAATATATAAATATTATGTTGTTTCCTACAGATAAATATATAATGAAATTCAACTTTTTAAATATCAATGTTTATGTTGATATAAATATTAACCTCCAACTCTTAAACAGCAAATATTTTAGACAATAATGAGATTGGTGGGTTATTTTGATCTATCATCAATGTTTCAATATATGGGTTATTTTATATTTTTAACAATATTTCCTACTAAATTTGGATTTTATTATTTTCTCAAATTTTTTTAATACTATCAATGATAGTATCAAATGAATACATATGTATATTTATTTCGTTTAATTTCAGTTTATAAATAAAATAAAACTAGTTACATTACAAATATGTCTTTTTAGATTTTTGACATTTAAAATTTTATATTGTTGGCAATATAAATATTTGAAATATTTGGAATATGTTATAAGACGAAAATACAAAATTAAATCCGACACGGCCTTAATACCGGAAAAATTCATAAGAGCTACAATAGATTTTCTTAAAGAAAGGAACATGTACTTAAATTTATAACGTTCCAACACAAACTCATTACTACCGATATCGATACAACGTTAGACGAAACAAAAAGAAAAGAAAAAAGAATATATGGAATATAATTATAATGTGGTTATTTATTTCATCGAAATTAATATCTGATGATTCATTAAAGATAGAATTTCCAAAAACCTTCGTCATAGTTAGTAAGTTTTCTATGAAAATTGTGCAACTCTTTACTAATTTTACACAATTCATAACGTTACGAAAATATTTGATTGCTTCAATGAATATAATCTAGAGAATACATTATTTCAAAACTTGTACTATCCCTATTATAGTAGACTCGACGTATATTTGTTTGTGTTACGATAATAAGAAAATAAGAACCGATTTTAGAAGAGATATCTGTTGCTCAAAAATATCTGAAGGGGATTAAAATTATTTGAAATTTATCTAATAAAATGTAAAATAACATTTCAAGCAGAATTGTAAATATTACGTTTCATTATCACAAGTAACAATTAAAAGTATTTAAACGTAATCAGTTATACTGTTACACAAGTTGTACAAGTTGTCTAGTTATGATTAGTTATCGAAATTTACCGAAATATGTTAAAAATAAAATGTAGATATTTTATAATAAATATATTATTTGAATTACATATAAATTGAATTATTCAACGTAAAGACGGTACAGAAAAATATTTTTATTATTTCGTGATTTTCTTGAATTTATTATTTATCTTCTTTAAAAACAAACTTAATAAAAAAAATGTCAAATATATGTTTTTTGTACAATTCTACTTTAAATAATTTTAACAAACAATTATATGATTTACAATCAATGAATAGATCATTGTCGCGTTAAATTGTCCCGCCCATAACTTATCTATCATGGTAGCACGCTTGAATCGCATGCTTGGATACAATGAATTATTTCAATGTCACGAACTATATTTATGTGATTACTTATGATTCGCTAAAATTATTTGTGGTTGATGTAATGCAACCTGAACATTGTACTTAAAAATATTTATTGTGTATACATACTTTTTATCGCTTAAACGTGACAAACAAATGCAGACACAAATCGATGAGCTGATCATGATTACAGGTATTCTGCGCATGTTTTACATGAAAACTGTTTCGTTATGTTACAAGAAAACTTTGCTATTAATGTAAGTAAGCTGAAATCAATCATTTCAAGATCAACTAGTTTTATAAATAGTGCAATGTATTTGAGTGCAATGTATAACTGAAATTAATTTTAATTTCTTTCACTTTTAAACTTAATTAGTATGGTTATTTAACACATACAAATTATATACACACATTTAATAAATATCTGCATAAATGCAATTAAATTTTTATAACAAGTGTATTTAGTTACTTACGACATCTTCAATTTGGACGATCATTTTTACTTCTAAGAAATGCTTAACCACAAGAAACGTTTAACCAATAGTTCCGGTGCTTCGTTAGCGACTGAGCGCTGTGGTCAGAATCCTCAGTAGTTCTGTTCCCTCTCTCACTCACACTTATCCTGCTTCACGTTCACTTTCTCTCTTTCTTTCTTTTTCTTCTTCTTCTCTCTCTCTGTTTCTCTTTCTCTCTTATACTTGGGTTCCATAGAGCGGTGTCATACCCGACACAAAGTATAGCGAAGGCAAAACGACGTGCGCAGTGGCCGTATTTTACTCACAGTTCAACGAAAGATCTCCGAAGATTGACGAACATATCCGAGTGTCCAGACTTACACTATACTTCCTAGTAACGGCTTATATCATAATGAGGAACTACACGCAACTTTGAAGGATATTCGATAAAGTTTATATATGTTTTTAATTGAAGTTTACAATATACTAAAATAGAATTCTTACGCACAGTACTTATAATTATCAGTAGTACACTTTTCTCTCAATATCTTCGTACTTTTTGAATACATCATTAACTGATATCGCAACGCAATTCTTACAATTAAATAATTCTTTTTACAAGTGATAAGATTTGATATACGTTTTGTATTTCTACATTACACAATGAAATAATATTCGCATTCATTAATTTTACACATTGCAGGTTAGGAAATATTAATACTTCGGAAATATTAAAATATTTTATTTAAAAGGAAAATAAGGATGAATGAAACTATATTTCCGTATTCTTTGTCATAATTTTGTGAAGTGAAACATAGGTTATTTTAAAAAATAAATGACATCAAACAAGTGTTTCTTAGTAATAGTTTCAAGGATAAATAACTTTGGCTACAAAATAACGTGGAACATGTAGGTTACGTCGTAAAAGAATCGATTAATATACATATGTATGTTCATACTAGCTTCTGTTATTCCCCTAGCCTAGTTATATAGGATATATTTAGTACGAAATAGTATAGAAGTTAATAAATTTCATATTTACAATAATTATTACTATAAAACACGACATAACAAATATAATAAATATACCAATATAAAGACGGAAAGTAACAGTAACAAAAGATTTAATAAAAGTACTGATGAAACAAAATGACTTCATTCATGAGTGATAAAAATGTTCTAATGACGTCACGTGATTTTCTTATTAAGAATGACTGTTTTTAAGTGAATTATAAACGAATTTTCGACATTCGTATTGAAGGTATTTTATCATGTTTATCCATGATAATATTACACCTGAATTTTACATTATGTTTACATTCAGCAGTACATACTCATTTGTAAAATATTTTGATTTATATCACGTAAATATCAATGACGTAATACCTCAATGACAACGCGAAAAAGATTGGTAACATATTGTATTGGTCCGATAAATCACACTCTTTTTATGTTCGAATTGAATGGTTTAATGTGCTACATTTTTTAATTTATATCAACTATTTAAGGAAATTTTTATTTATGTGTAATAGAATTGTATTCATTACAATTTGGTCTTAAAATAATGTACATAAGTGAAAATGAAAGAAATGTATACTATAATGAAAGTTATTAAAAACTTATGGAATAAAGATTTATTAAAATTGTTTTATACTGTAAAAGGCAAACTAATCATTAAGCATGTCATTTTTAATACGTTTTCTACAGAACATTTTTAATGACGTGTTGGGAGTATGAGTTACAAATATAAATGTTTAAAATTGCATGATATGATTAAACATTACAGCAAAAGGAATATTTGAGATAAATATATCCAAAAGCAGATAATGACATAGCACTATGCAGTTATTAGGTACTAACAAATATGCAAAATAATTCATTGTAACTTACTTGGCTATAGTACATCGACTGCAATCTCCTCGCATTGATTAAACTATTTTGAGATACAATACTATAGCAAATTTTGCAAACTTATAGTACGTGTTACTTAGAGCACTACTTAAAAATGCACTTTTGTTACTACCATGTCGGAACAGTTAACAAAAAAGAATTATGGTTTAGAATTTAAATATATTAGAATATTTCTTTACAATTGCACATAAGTATTAATTATGCATCAAGACAAAATTTTTAATAGCAACTTGTTTATGAAATAGCTGTATTAATATGCTATTGTATAGAATGTATTATAACAAATAGGATAAAAAAGATAGACTACAGAAGATAGAATACAGTAAAATACATTATCCTTTCCATTATTGTCTAATTTCAAAGAACCTCATTAAATTTTCATTTCGTTTACAATATTGTCGATTTAGCTTAGAATAAGAATAAAATACTAAAAATGATATAAAATAGATCTATTATTATAAACGAGGTATAAATACAACCGTTTTTGTACAACTTCGTGTTTTAAGAATTGACACACCAATGGTGTAAAAGATCAGAAATTTTTTATGATACGTACTATACAGAGCGGTGAATGTAATAATCACAGACAAAGCAAAAAAGGTATTGAGTAACATGTCTATACTCTATTCCGTTTGTGATACAGTAGAAATCTATTATCTAACATAACTTATTTTTCACGTTGAGGGCGCTACAGACAATTTATCATTTTAGTGTTATTACCAATATTACCAACTAAATATTTATTTAAATATGTGTATCTTTCAGTCCTGTTTTTAGGGGCTCTAGAGCCACTTCATCATTTCCACATCTACAATATTGTGGAGTATCGAAACTGATTGAAGTGTATCACGGCGATGAAAATGAATTTAAAACTCATAAATAAAATAATCAATTCTTATGTATTCAAAAAAATGGTCTAACAAGCTAAGTAATTATATTAATTGATATTAATATTAGACCTACGTTATAAATCGTTAATGAAAATACTTGTCAACGTAAATAAAAATAAGCGCTCTTCTTTATCCACTGCAAAGAATTTCGCTTCCCATATTATCGACTTAACGAAGAAAATTATGACAATACTAGTGATAAGTATTATTAAATATAATACGAAAAAATAAATAAAGTACAGGGCTAGGCATTTCGTTTTTGCATACGAAGTCTAAAACAAAAATTAAAATTACAATTTAAAGTTACTATAAACACTGAAATTCGATCATGACAATGATATTTTTCTATTTTTGCATATTCTGATCATTTAAACAAATTTTAATTTCTAAAACTACTAATCGAATAAACATAATTTTTTTCCCTTTCTACATTGTACATATTATACTAACAAAAAATTATAAGTATAACTAATATAAGAATCTAAATATTGTACGTCATTTACTTTCTCGTAACAATATTGCTTAACATGTATGTATTTAAAACAACTTTTTAAAGTTAAATAAAGTGAACAGTAGCTAAAATTGATGCATAAACCTAATGTATAAACCTTTTAAAGGATAGAATCGATAATGTTAGATATTAATATAATAGCAATATATTAATATTAATTAATTAATATCAATAGTTATAATTAGTTGATAAATTTATTCTGCATTTGGTTAGAATCCAATATTTTACATCTGTTTTATCGGTCACATAGTTCCCTAATTTGTTACTCCAAATCGTAGAGGGCGTAACAACACTTTTATCTTTTTATGTACTGCAGAACATGGATTATTGAAATATAGAACTTTCTATTACAAAATTTTATAAGAGGATAAATTTATATTCTAGCTTATCTGTTGTGTCTGTATCTGTATCTGTTTTATTGTTAGATTACAATAATTTAAAACAATTCGTACATACCATTGCAAATGAGTTTCGATCGGTATTGACAAATGTAATATTATCGCCATTTAAATATTATCGGTAAATGAAAAAATAAATAAAACAAACACAATCTGGATTCAACTATTAATATATTTTGAGGCGCTTCGAAAAAATTCTGCCATATTTTATATATAGTTAATTTTTTTTTATAACTTTTTTATTATTTTATTATTTGTTTATAGAATTTTACAATTTATTACAATACGTGTTTATACAGATTACTATTTTGATGCATTTAACATCAATTTAATATATTACATTTATTCATTGCAATTGTGAGAAATTACGATAATACTTTTCTGCTAGTGATACTTGCCCTGCGTCGATAATAATCGATTTACAGTTTTCAAGGAGTATAAACATCCTAACACTAGAAATCAAGTGACAGTCTGAATTCTAAATTGATATTTTTTAAAATAATCCTATTACAAAATAAATTATTTTTATTAATAATAATATAAATACATTTTCAGAAACACCAAGTTTATCGTCACAGTTGATGTGATGAATTGTACGTACATCGATAAATGCGCAGACTCGAGGAGGGCGCGAACGTCTCGGTCAGAAAGGCGAGACACAACGGGATAAAACGGAACGAATCCGTGTTGCTAAATATAATACGCGGAGGCACGCGATTCTCTTACGGCCGGGGGTTGCAGGATGATCATCAACATCCCAAAGCCCAAACATTATTCTCGATAGTGATCTTGTTGTTTCGTTGGTAGGTTTCTCGCAACGAAAATTGTAGCATAAAAAGTGAACGAACAGTTGTGACATATCAAACCAATTGAGATATAGCCAGTTTCAAAGGAAATCTTTCCTTAGTTCAGTGATTCTTCAGAGGTGAAGGTTTCTCGAAGACGATTTTATATGTGTTTTAGATTTACATAGATTTACATAGATTTACATACTACTGATGTCTTTGTCACGTGGTAACCGGCCAAATTACAGGTACGCCATAGTTTTAGATAAATCGTAATTTTAATCGATACTGGCTAAGAGTTATGCTAGAATTATTCGTCATGTTAATGATGGCGCTTTAAATGATCTCATTATAGAAAATACGGTAACAGTCAATAAAAAGTGTCATTTTTCATATAAATTATATTGTGCAACCAATCGTTCTTTTTTTATGGAAAATGATATTTTTGAATAACCATTAATAGACGCAATATTTTATTAAAATTGCTAGTACATTTATTATTCGCAATATTTTTTGACCATTGCATCGGTTTTACGATATTACAACAATAGTGATCATTATAAGAAGTTTTCTGAAATTTATTTGTAATAGCCATTACGTGTTCATAAGGCGGCAAACATGAAAGTCTTCCACGTGTACAAATGTTTATATTGCAATTAGTACGTTGGTTACAAACCAAATTAGCGCAGAATCGGTAGTCATGTGGCTGTTTCCTCTTATTCTTAGAATTGCGTTAACAAATGGCGAAAGCATAAACGTTTAATATAGAATTCGCTTGATCACATGCATTGTCTTGTATTCTATTTGATTAAATTCGATAGACATTTCTCTCATATGCTTTGTTTACTAGCGGTGTTTGGATGCACGTTAAAGTTCATAGGCTGAAATATATTTTTCTTCAACACATCAAAAAAATTTAAATATGTTTATTTTCTGTTATCTTATAAAATTATTCGATTGCAATTAATTTGTGCACCTAAGCGTATAACGCGTACACACGTACGTTTATATGTGTGGTAACCACAACCCTAAGATTGTGTATGGTAATCTAACCTGACCTAACGCGCCTTTGAGGTATGACGTAATAACAGCTACTATTCCTTCCAAGAACACGGTATCGAAACAATGACGAATTTGGAGGATCATTTGGACAGCCCTTTTCAACGATCTTGTTTAATGGATTAGGGGAGAAAATCGCAGCTTGGCCAACGCGTCGTTCATAGAATTTCTCGATCAATAGTCGTCGTACTGTGCTACTCGACGTACAGTTCGTAAATATGACGACGATATTCGGATTGCATTTCGTCGAGCGTATTATATGACAACTGCATGCATCTCATCCGCTATACTCACGAATGTATATATATATATATATATAAGATCGTATTCCGTCGTAGAGAGTATAGTCGTAATTTTTCTCATTAGTTAGCTGTTTAAAAATTCAAGCAAACAGAAATGCCACGTCGCGGTTTTATTGTTTCCAACGCACTTATATAACGGTTTTAACACGACGTTCCTATGTGTCCAGTAAGAAAAAGGAACTTGGAATAGGAATAGGAATAGGAATAGGAATAAGGGATTACGTGAAAAATGTTGAAAGTTATTGTTGAATAGTGAAGTTTTATAGAAATGAGACAAACAAAATTTCGATGAGCATAATCAAAGTACTTTTTGTTGAATTTAGTGAATATTTCGATATAAACTTGTTATTATTTGATTACTATTTGATGTTAAAGCTAATTGAAAAAATAAAACAACTAGATTTTTCTACATTTGACAGAGATGAATATCCAGAAGCCTGAGGGTCTTTTGTCAGTGGTTTTACCAACTGAACTTGCGTCTTCGCCGAGTTCGCGACAACTCATTATAAATCAAGACCAACAGGTGTGTTCGACACAAATAACGTAGCTTTTGTCTTTCGTTCTTCTATCCTTTTGTCTTTTTACACGCTATATTTCTTACGTTTAATAGCATGTGTCGATAATGTCTTAATGGGGCGACTTTTTAAGATTTTTTAACTTGTTACGTAGTAGATTAACATTTAAAATATATATTTTGGTTAATACCGCAATTATAAGTAATTTATATTTAATGCTTGAGTTAAATCAATGAAATAAAATCACCTGCTATGCTTACAAAATGTGTAAATATTTATTATGTGCTATTATGATCTTTCTATTTTAATCTTACTTTCATTGATCTCAGATAAGCGATAGGAGTAATCAGCATATAGTATTGAGTGAAATATAAGTTATTTCAGACTTACAGATAATATTTTACATATAGTTACGTACGATATATTTTTGATTTAATATGTGAATTTTTAAAATATCAATTAGATTTTTATTTATGTAAATTCGAATAATATATTTTATTTTGATGGTCAATAAAAAATAAAATTATTTAAACAATGTTAATGTTAAGTCTATGTGTCAATAGGAAATAAATTTAAAGTTTAAAGTCGAAAAATACAATTGTGCTAACATTTGTTAAGTACAGTTAAGGATAATAGGTCATAATTGGAGTAACAACTGATGACTAATAATTTAGAACAGGCTTAGCCAACTTATGGCCTGGGCAGTCATTTATGTGGTTTGCACCATTAATAATAGTACATATAAACTTCTCGTCACGTGTGCTATACCAAATTTAATATTGCAAGTCCGCCATTCATTTTCCCAGATAACCTCCGTAGCAGGTTGGACAAGCCTAATATTAAAAACATGACACATGCATATAATTTGCGGGGAATAAAATGGAAAAAATATATCAATACTTAAAAATAATTGAAATTAAAATTAAATTTGAAAATAAAATTTGAGAGCTACATTAAAAAAATTAATTAAATTAAGGAATACACTATTGTACATAGTTCACGAAGTAATTTATTGGCGAAATTTAGTCAACGTAATAACATTACTTTTTATTATTTTAATTAAATTTATCAATGACATTAAAGGAATTACTTATAATATCTGATATATTTTAGGTTATGTATCTAGGAGAGATATTTAAACTTGAACGCAATTTAATTCCTATACTTTTATCGCTCGTCTGGGCCTGTGTGTTTAAATCTGTTTTATTATTTTGTTTCTCAGTGGGAAATATTTAAAAAACATCATAGAAAATTTGTTCGAAATTAAATAACTGCACATTGGACGCGTGTCGTTTTCGTAGGATGAAGAGGCATCAGACTGTCCACTTTTAACTCCTAGTCCACCGGCGACGCAAACGAACAATGGCTTGGAATCTAGCGCGATATTCGTTTCCCTGGAGGGAAATCCCGTGGAATCGATTTCGCCGCCAACGCTGGAAAACATTAATAAAGAGGACGGACTTAACGAGTTCATGAACATAGTGAACAGCTCGAGCAGAACGCTGAACGATGGTAGGTTTTCCCCTTTGATTGCTGTATTTTCAATTAATCTGCAGACAATATTTATTGTACATATTTTTCATTATAATCTCTAGTATTATTATTAATTTACAAACACAATTAATATAACGGTAATATAAATATAATTAATAAATAACATAATTAAAAGTAAGTTGTTATCTATAATTTTATAATTTTGTAATTTAACCGACTTTATTTTTTTCAGTTCTGCAGTTTCAAATAGGATAGACTTGCTTTACTTCCATATAAAGGAATTGCTATACAATTTTGTCTATTATAAATTGAAAAATTTGTATAATAGATTATGGTACCATTTAAATTAAATTAATAATTAAAACGTTACAATTAAAATGAAGAAATCAAAGTCAGAAACTTCAATAGTTATTTTATGATATTTTAAAGAAAAAGATAAATTGATTGTTAAACACAGAGAAACAAAGAGAGAAAGAGAGAGACAGGTAATAAGTTGATAAAATTGTCGTGTTTTGCTTTTTTAAACTTGATATACAAAAAATGGTTGCACACTAAGCACGTGGGCGTTGGGTATTTTAGTTATGAAGTTCAGGGAGAGTTCTTTCTCGGCCTAGAATGTTTAATTTAGAACAGACTTCCTACAAGTGTATTCATTTCATTTCCACAACTTATATTCCAATTTATCAATCTGTCTGATTTGATTTATTCTTTTACGACAACGATAAAATTACGTGACCGTATGTTTAATTTGATTAGAGATTCAGAAATTTCACTTCAAGTGAAAAAAAGTAGAAATTATACTTTTAATTTTTATTAAATATTTTTTTCTTTAAACTATTAATGGTCGCTGATATGCAAAGAAAGATAAGTTTCATCAAACATATTTTTCTTGCACATGACAAATGCTTAATCTCTTCTACACTGCAGAAATTCAACTATCACCGTATTTCTTTCTTTCCTTAATTTTCAATGAATTTAACAAAAATACAATCAAATAACTAACAAGTGAAATTAACAAATTTCATTTCATTTTCATACAGGTCATCAAAAGTAAAAAGCAAGAATCCTGTTCTAATTACCTGATAAGTCATTTTTGTTCTCTATCCAAATTTTGAAACATGATTACATTCAAGTTACTGTTCCCACAATAAGATTTTATTCAATCATTCAAGGAAGCCAATGAAGATACAACCAAACAACTAAACCAAGCTGACAAATTTTATCCGATTTTCTGATAAATCATTCCAAATAAAACATACGAATTCTACTCTAGCAATTTGACAAGTCATTTTCGTTTTCTATCCAAATTTTAATCTTTCACATTCAAGAGATGCGAATTCTTTATATTAAACTATACATTTTTGTTCGTACGTAAAAGATTATTATAGAAATATAATTTTATGTTATTGTAAAAGATGTCATCAACTTTATAGCACGAAAGCTTCGAGTTACTACTCTTTCCTATAGCAAAGAATCCCCAAAAGGTTGAAATCCGATTATAACTTGCTGTTCACTCGGTAAATCTGAAGTTCAACTACTGAACAAAATCATTCAATGTGCTTCCCAGCAAGCGATGCGTATCATGTAGCAATATTCGACGCCCGAAGATCTTACATAATGGCGTCGCGTCAGTAACACAGCGTTCACGCTGACAATAAACTGCCTTAACAGGATCTAGTTTCAATTGAAGCATTGAACTAATCTTAACGAAGACTGGCTGTATGGCCATCAAGAATCGACGCGTGCTTCGATGTTGATCAGTGTCATTGAATAGTGGTTGTTGATGGCCAGGTCGTCACGGACAATTACGAAACTTGAAGACAGAATCTTTTTAATTTCGATACGCGGTCCAAAGTGATCGCACGCAATCAACAGACACGCGATTATTTAAAGGGTCGTTAATTATTGCAGAGCCTAGTTCACGAGATCCAATGGTGGAATCGACGACCAGCGGAAGTAGCAGTGACACGAATGGGCCAGTTTGTGCACAGCTGTTGACACAGTTGAACACAGCCTATCAGCATCTTGCACCTGATGCTCAAGCACTGGTAAGCATACACAGAAAAAATTAGTACTATTAATAAAATGTACTCGTAGCATTGCTGAAAGATACAGCGCACTATCAAGATAAACTTGATGAAACAGATATAGCAAGGTTTTGAAAAATATAAGTGACGATATACTTCAGTGTTGGATGCCAATTTCTTGAACTCTGAAGATTAAGGATATAACTAAAATCGATATGCGTACTTTATTGGATTATAAATTCTTTAAGATATCGGAAAATGTAATATTAACATATTTTTGAATAATTAGAAATTTGCTGCTATTAAATTTAATAGTACGTTTCTCCTGATATCTCAACTTTGTGTTTATATCGTTGAAAGTATTCGAATTTGTATTTTAGCTCATGTACCTCGCTAAATTTGTTCCAGTAATGATATTTTTGATCACACTACAAGTATTATGTATGAAACAGCTTCTTTTTAATTCCTCATGGCTCGATGGATATAATCTTTTTTATATCGTGAACAAAAATTTCACAGTAATTGCATATGCATCTAATATTTATATTTTCGAATTTATGTTGACGGAAAATGACATTGGCATATAAAAGAAATTATCAAGGATCTTCACATGGCACTCGATACTGGGAAAGATGAATCTAGTGAAATAAGACATCGAGCCAGCAGAGGGTTAATTATATTACCGCAATATACATTGCGACCAGCACTATTAAGCTTTTTACATATTTATGGCTTGCACAGTATAATAAAATGTTATGTTCCTGTACACTCTCTTTATAAATAGTATAAATAACACACACACGTTCTCTAATAAAAGACTTGACCAGAATAGAAGAAAATTTGATGTCCTTATTAGTAGCTTTGTAACTAACGGACGTTGCAACATCTAAATGATATATTTGAATGCAAAATCGTGTATACTTTTTAGTTATTTAACTACGTTTTGTCACTATGTATGTGTATTAACCACGCTTTGTTTTGGTTACGGCCGATCACCTGTTCTATCTTTATTTTAATCATGTCAAGTTCAATTGCATCTACGCGTTTCACAATAGTAGAGGAATAAAACTTCACACATTTATAGCTTCGTTCTTGGATTTTTGTATACTAATAGAGGAAATTACAATTTATAAAGAAATCCTAAATATTAAGAAATATCAAATTTTAAAGAAAGTATTTTTATTGTAAGATATTTTAATAACATATACATATAATCAAAACGCTAATCATTCAGATTAATTATTTTTATTGGCGTCCATATTTTTTAGATATTCAATCTTACCATAAACGATTATTTTATAAATGAACGATACATAAGGTAATAATTTTTTAGTTTTTTTTGTAAAAAATGTTATGAAAAATGCAAGAGAACATATATTCAAAATCTTTTTAATAACAAATTGTGATGTATAAGATGATAAAATACTGCACAAAAATTTGCTGTCTCTTTGAGTTTTATTCATTGCATATTACAAATATGTTTTTGCTCAGATTTCATAGAAATTATTATATAAATTAGAAATTTTAATCGTTTGTGTCATCAATTATTAAATACATTTCTTTCTACATTAGTAAAAAAATGCAATTACTAACAACAGAGGAGTTACCCATGAAAATATAGATAAATATCAGAGAAAAAGGAGTTAATAATAGAGACACATGTCATACCAATACACTTAGGTGCAAATCTTGAACTATACACTGACTTCGAGTGGTTAAAAACTTCGGCTTCTGCTATAAGATTATGGACATCATAAACTACAGTGTGATTGGTGAAACTGATACTGTGTGACCTTTTATACACACTCAAGTGATGTGTAAATTGACACCCCTCTTTACCTAGCAGAATGGTCGATATTGACTACTGCATAAAAAACAAGCAACCTTTTTGATCTTTTTTCATCCAAGCTCACTCTTTTACCTTTCGCTCTTTTAATGTTTCATTTAATTCAGAGTTTATATAGCGTTTATGATAATATAACTCTTATATCAGCTATATGCTTATTATTTTTATAAATTTGTATTATTACGAATCTCCTTAGATTATTACGATGTAGATTTAGTCTTATGACCATTATAGATGGATTTGTTGACAACTAGAAGATCTATCGATCTAGAAGATCTTCGAATTGGAAACGGCGTATTTACCGCAGGCTATTGCATAAAGCATATGGATTATGTAATTTCTCAGAAAGTATATATTTAACTACTTTCGTTATTTAGTCATCATTTCCAAGATATTCAGGAACGTGATATTAAGAATGCGATTATTAAAGTTTAGAGAAGAATTTTCTTAGCGTTTTAAAACCTTTCTTTTCTTTTCTATTACAGTTAAAATTCCATCTGTTAATTAAATTCATATTTTACCTAGGAAGTTCAGCATATTTTCATCAGTTTGGCACATAAGAGGAATACTTTGCCAAACATTGCTATTGCAATACGCTTGTCGTAATATATTTATCCACATTCAATAAATCTTTAAAACAAAAAAAGGAAGAAGTAAACAGTGCAATAATATGTCTGACACATCCATCAGCACTTTCTAATAAATAACAGTTCAGTCCGTTTCTATCAACATAGTAATTACAATTTTTCACGTTCCAACTGTTCGATCTTTTAGTGTAAAATACATCATTCAGATATTGTATTAGCTTTGATACGAGTTATAAATCGTTCGAAAACTTTTTATTATAAAAATGCTATTATTTACTATAAACTTAAGATTCTTAACATAGTCATTTATGTTTTCATGCAGTGTCAGAATTTTTTGAAAAACGATTCCTTTTCAGAAATTATTATGGCGTTCTTTGTACCAAAAAATTAAGACTGATACTATCTAGATTTTTTGTTTTCATACATACATGTACAAAAGTATCACGTATCGTTGTTCTAATAAGAATGTAGCGTACCCGCAATATCGCTAGTCATTTTGAAATCGCAGTGAAGTGAAAACGTGAAACAAAGAAATCGTCCATACTAGATGCACAGTGACCTAGATTATTGTTAGCTATGATGGTAGCTGTATTTCGATATCGGTGTACAATCATGCTAATAGCCATGTTTACAACCAACCTAGAACAGGATTGGTACTGCTCAGTCGGACAGTTTAATCACGGTATTGGGAACTGTGCTGACATTTTGTTACCCATGTTACTAATCGCTTGCTTTCTAACACCCTTATGAACTTAAACTGTAACTGTTTAGTTTTACAATCAGGAGAACGGCGGAAAGCCACCATTGGTCGGGATTCAGCTGGTGGTACCAAAACCGTCGAAAGATTACCGTTTTATGAAATGGAACTGGCCACTTATAAGGAAGACTTGTTTTTGGTCTCTGATGTCGGTGCTCGCTGGATGCGCAGCACTGGTGATCGGTGTGATCTCCACAATGCCTAGAAAGTATGTATTTGTATTATATAAATATAATAAAAAAAAAAAAAAGAAAATTGGAATAATTGTGCAAAATTTATATTTATCTTCATAGGTGTGATCCTCCCGTTCAATGGTGGCAAGGAAGTGTTTTCTACGAAATATTCCCAGCATCTTTTCAAGATTGGTCGAAAGGCGACGGCATCGGTGATCTTCGAGGCATAACGATGCGTTTGGACTACTTAAAACAGTTAGGCGTGCGCGGGATTCGCCTAAATTCTATTTTCCCAGCAGCACATTATCCTGAGTACTATTCGAACATCGATAACTTGACAGATATCAACAAAGATTTAGGAACGTTAGATGATTTTGCTACGCTTGTGCGAGAGATTCATCGTCGAAACATGAGTCTGATTCTAGATCTACCTTTGTACCCCTTCATAAAAACTATATATAATGAAACTGTGTCTTCCGAAAAACCGAATAAAACAGACAAAGCTGTGCGCGAGAGAAGAGACGTTACAGATAGCGTAATTCTACAGGAGGTTGTGTCAACAACACCTCCTGCGTCGTTACAAGCGATTCAAAAAGTGTTGTCTTCGATACCACCTCCTCTGGATGGCGTACAGCACGAAGCACTTACATCGAATGATGCTGATAACATATCAGAGAATTCCGTCACAACGGCCATTAAAATTTGGTTAGAAAGGGGAGTCGACGGCTTCTATTTAAAAGGACTAGAATATTATGTTGGTGAAGAGTCCTTTGCTAGCAGCTTGAAGCATTGGAAGTCTATTTTAGGGTCTCAAAGAATATTTATTTGTCATATGGATGCCTTGAACGCTGCCAGAACGGTTACGGCGAAAAACTCCATCCTAATGAAAGTGGATCTCGTAGATATTACGTTGCGCGTCACGAATGGCACAAAGGATATTAAAAAACAAATAGAGGACGTCACGAATGGTTTATTGTTCGAAAAACCGGGTTATCCTTGGGTTCATTGGTCCATAGGCGGGGTGGAGTTTAAAAGGGTAGCATCTACCATTAGTGTGAAAAATGCCACCCTAGCCACCACTTTGTTAGGAATGATGCTTCCAGGAACGCCGAGTATATTCTATGGAGACGAGGTATAAATTATCGTGGAAATTTTATTATATCATGGTACCCTTGGGATTTCTTTAATATTTTTTTATGGATTTGGACAATTTTAAGTAATGACTTTTAAAAACCTATTTAATATTCAGATAGGTATTTTGGATTGCGAATGTGAGGATCATAAAGATCTTGCTCACGTGCACAATTTGGCTCCTATGTATTGGGAGGAAGTCGGCGGTTCCGAGATTAAATTTGCATCTATTGGTGTTACACCTTGGCTTCCAGAAGCTGTGAAACCGTTACAAACAAGTTTATTTGGAACCATTGCTGAGATGGCTTCTTTAAGATCAGAAACAACACCAATTTATGTTAAAGCGGTGTTGAAAGAGAATCAGGTGCTTGCGAACTGTGATATTAGGTAAAATAAATTTCATTTTGTAATTAATATTTAAGATCGCTAAACCTTCCGTTTTCTTTTTCTCCTGTTTCTACTGCAGTCTTTATAATAATTGAATTTGATGTATTTTGTAGCTGTATCTATGTATTTATAAGTTTTTGATACAATTATATAGATAATATTAATATCACATTTTTGTAAAATTGAAGGTTTAAAGAATTATCCTTTTGCTTTTAGTAAAAGTTTTCATATAGCATAATAGTTGTTAAAATTAATTTTCTATCTTTTTCCATAGGTATGCAGAGGATGAAATGATTGTAATAGAACGATGGTATCCACGACGGAATACTTATGTCTTTTTAGCGAATTTAGGTAACAAGATGCAAACGAAAGATTTATCTTTCCTTTATTACGGTGGCCATGTTGTAGTCGGTCCATCATACAGATTAAACAAAGACGTGTATTTTAAACAACTCATTATACCTCCGGGTGAGGCTTTTATTATAAAACTTGACAAATGAAGATCTGCCATGATATTAAAGATCTATGCAACATTCATTTTATATGTACGATAAAAATTTTCGCGTCTTTGATTGATATGTTCTGCGTGAATTTGTGATATTTTATTTGAAGAATATCGATGACGTTGCGAACGTTGTACAACGAATGTTTAGATACAAAAGTTCCTATTAATCGTAAATCAGTTAGGAACGACTATAAATGTCCAACATAAGAAAAACGACGCAATGAGAAATAAATTGTATACATGCGGCGTGAAAAGAAAAAAGAGAAGGAAGGTTTGTGCTGTCTCAACGATTTTATGTACACGGGTAAAATGTGCTTAGACACAAAATCAAAAGCTCATAAAAAAAATCAAATTCTGTATTATTAACTTAGTCTCGTTGGTAATAATGAAAAAGCACAACGAACGATCACGCATTTCACATTCCAAAAAAAGACAGATCATTTCACGTTTGCCTGTGTTCATTTTAATGATCAAAATCTAGGATGAGAGATTGCTTCGCTATTTTGTATGTCTTTTAATCATTTTGATAACAAAACCAAAGATGCTTGCGGTTCGATTGATTATTCTGAGTCATAATACGAATTTAATATGAAAATTAACGTATTTCGTATTTTACAGAGTACAAGAAATTTATTCGTATCATTGGATTGACAATTTGAAGTTTCAGATCGATTTAAAATATAGAAAATATTTTTGTAATGAATTTTATCACGTGTAAAGAACTGTTCGCAACGTGTAATTTTCACTTCTTTTATAATCATTTTGGTACTAATCGAGTGATATTTTACCGATGCGTGAATTAAATGGTGCTTAGGCAAAAACAGTCCTTTTTGTATTCTTATTCAACATTATAATATGTATGTCCTTAATATGTGTTTTCATAACACAAATTTTATATGTTATATGTAACTTATGTAAATGTATATTCGGTCGAAATTTTGGTACAAATTTCGTAATAGTATTAAAAGAAAAATATATTATTATCTATAATGTATTTGATGTATTAAAATTTTTACTTTAACAAAGTTCGATTTTGATGTGAATATTAATATTAGAAAATAAAAAAATTTATCTAATAATTTTTTACTTTTTATAATTATTCTTATTATTTAAAATCAATATAAAAATAAAATTCATAAGAGATGCATCTGAACAGTTTGTAGTTGAGCACCGCTATTTCCTTTCTCGCAAGTGCTCGAACAGTCGAACATTTCTATATAAGAGGGTTCTAACCTTTGGTAGAATCGAGAAGTTCCCTCGAGCAACACCACGGAGCCACAATCGGAGTCTATAGTGACTCTCATGCTCTGAGGAAAGTCCCTGGACACTCGGGCAGAAAGTGTCGTAGCGTTATCGCTGCTAGCCTCCTGTCATCTTTCTCGAGTCTTTTAAGAAAGGAAGCTTCGGCAGATCTTTTCGAGTTAGGATAGGAGTGTATTGGTCAAAGAAAAGTAATGTGTTCGAAACATAATTTCCTTCTTCTCCCTTCTTTCAAAGGGAAGAGGTGAAATTTGTTCAACTAAACAGGGCTCATTACGAGGAAACTTCTCCATTTTTTTTACAAATATTTGATAATGTGTAAAATTAAAAGTATGGTATTAAAATAAACTAGTTAGAACTTCATCTGTTGTAGAATTTTATTGAAATTACAATTTCATTACAAAAGATTGTTACGACTTTTATTTTAATAGATTAAATAATTGATTGATAATACCTTCGTAAGTCGTACTTTCAAAATTTGTATCATCAAAAACAGCTAATATATTTAGCAAAAAGTATTAGTTCAATTCAAAATAGTGGAATATAAATTGGACGTACAAAAAGATTTTGCTTAAATATCATATAACTTGAATATTAAAGTTGAGCCATCATCAAGAGGATGCTTCGTTGTTTTTATAAAAACACTAAAACATTAATATATATGCATTTTTTAATTTAATTAATTATAATTTTCTTGCATTCAAGGTATATTACTTACATTCTTTGCTATTTCTAATAGACTATTTGCCATTGCAAGACCTGTTTGCTGTACCATATTGTAAAAATATCCTTTCTTTTGTAGCAAAACGTATGGATGATCACATTCCTAATAAATTAATTATATAAAGTATCTTTAATGTGTATACACATTTTCAAAAATTATCTCAATATCAAATATTAAATTAATAATTTTTTAAACTTTGTTATACTTACCACTAGTTGACCTTGGTCCATCACAAGTATTTTATCACTATCCATTATGGTATTTAATCTATGTGCTATAGTGAATACAGTACAATCCATAAACTTTTTTCTAACTGTTTGTTGAATCATAAAATCAGTTTGTGCATCAACATTAGCAGTGGCTTCATCAAGCACCATAATTTTATTATTTCTAATTAGTGCTCGAACAAGGCATAATAATTGACGTTGTCCAACGCTAAAGTTTGATCCTTCTTCCGATACTTTACTGTCTAAACCTGCCAACATTTCTGAAATTGTTTCTTTTAATTCCACTTCTTGTAAAGCGTTCCATAAAACATTATCGGAATATTCATCAAAAGGATCTAAATTTCGTCGAAGACTTCCTCCGAATAAAATTGGTTCTTGAGGTATAATACTAATTTTTGAACGGAAGTCATGTAATGCAATTGTATCTGTAGGTATACCATCTATAATTATGTCTCCTTGTATATATGCTAA